GTTCTCAACATACCTTCAACATTTAGGCACTAATAACTCTAGCTATCGATAAGTAATCAGAAAGAAAACTACGGTATGATTTGAGACGTAAAGAGTAAGTAGCTGGCATAATTCAGCTCAAGGTGTATGGTTTTCAACAAGAAATTAATAGAACACAATTGGAACATCAACCTCAGGTATCGTCGACACCTACTGTATGCGACTTCTGAACTGTCAGTCGAAGTAAGTCCGGATATGAAAGAGTTCCCGGCTTTGATTTTTTTCATGCAAGATTAAATTATTCATTTGCAATCCGCATCGATCAGAATAAATGTTTACCAATGGTAAATAATAAATGATGGTGGAGCAAGTTTTTCGAAAGGGTTGTGGAAGGATAGTTTCACACATGAATTTATCTGACTTCCATGATTCCACTATTTATGCTTGACTGACACTATAATTTTTTTTTTGTCAGAAAATTTTTCAGTCAGCGTAAATGCACTTCGATGTCCCGGTCAAGTCGGCGGTCACGGCCACCATTGACGGAAACTAATGACTTTCTTAAGGCCCGTTCACACTACGAGACTCTGCGCGACTGACGACTGAAAAACTGGCTTTTTCAGTCCAGACTGAGGCAGTCCGGACCATCGACACGGGCTCATCGGCGAATGAAGCAGTGTTCATTCTTTTGAGCCGCTCATCTCTGATGAGCCGCTCATCTCGGGAGTGTCGCGTTGACTGCCGTCTGAGTAGGTTGTGTGTTGCTGTCGCTCCTACCCTATTTACACACAATTACCTGTTTATTTACTTTGCTTTGCAATGTCGCATGACGGAGACTGGAACAGGGATGTTACTGAGAGGCTTATTGAGTTATATAGACAGGCACCTTGCCTATGGAAAGTAAAAAGTTCGGTTTACAAAGACAGAATCTCAAGACTTCAACTTCAAGCATTAGAAAAAATAAGTGAACAAATGAAGAAATCAGATGCATCTACGAACATCGAAAAAATTCACACTTTGCGAAATCAATTTAGATCAGAGATGAAAAGAAAGAAAGATACCCTGAAATCTGGAGCAGGTGCCGAGGATTCATCCGCGGTTGTGGTTAGGTTTTGCGTTTCATAACTGCTATTAGGTATATAGATAGCCGAAAACTTTTGAATTCAATCCATCTTTTTCGGCTTCAATCCAAAATCTTTAAGTTACTCGTTTGCACGATCCATCTTCAAAGGCCAACGAGTAGCTGAAATGTCGCGCGCGGCAGAGTGGTAGCACTGCGATAGTCATGAGTCTTGATCCCAGCACATGCGCGTAGTCTGAACGCACACGCCAGTTTTGAGGCCCAGCCATGTGACTTATTGGTCTCAGTCCAGTCTCGATCCTTCCGAATCAGTCCCGTAGTGTAAACGGGCCTTTAAACAAAACCTCTGTAAGGTTAAATTATGATACTATAGTACAGTAAAATAGCATATTATAGTAGATATTATTTAGATAACATATGGGTTCCAAAATCAGAGGTAGGTGGCTGTTTTGATTCAGCTAAATATGTGTATGTGGACGATGAAAAATTTGTGCTTATTTTATCATCCCTATTGTGGCATATTAATTTGAGTAACAAGGTGAACGATATTGAAACCTCTTGTTAATTATATCTGGGGTTGCTTTGAAACCGGTTGATTCTGTTATTGAGGAAAAGACGTAAAAAGATGCAACACCATTCCGTGACTTCATAAATGTGTGACTGATAATCAAAACAGTAGGCCGCGTAAACACCGCCCACATGTTTTCACCAGGGAAGAGCTAGCAAATTAAGAAATTGTAGATCACGATGATGAGGGTAGCTCAGTTCTTCGATCTCTTGACTCGCTCTATCCTTCAGACCGATCTTGAAGTTTAGGTAAATTAGGTTTGTTTAGGTAGCGTTAGGTTTGTTTGGGTAGCGTTAGGTTTGAGTAGGTAGCGTTAGGTTTGTTTAGGTAGCGTTAGATTTGTTTGGGTAGCGTTAGATTTGAGTAGGTAGCGTTAGGTTTGTTTAGGTAGCGTTAGGTTTGTTTAGGTAGCGGTAGGTTTGTTTGGGTAGCGTTAGGTTTGTTTGGGTAGCGTTAGGTTTGAGTAGGTAGCGTTAGGTTTGTATAGGTAGCGTTAGATTTGTTTGGGTAGCGTTAGGTTTGAGTAGGTAGCGTTAGGTTTGTTTAGGTAGCGTTAGGTTTGTTTAGGTAGCGTTAGGTTTGTTTGGGTAGTGTTAGGTTTGTTTGGTTAGCGTTAGGTTTGTTTGGGTAGCGTTAGGGTTGTTTGGGTAGTGTTAGGTTTGTTTAGGTAGCGTTAGGGTTGTTTGGGTAGCGTTAGGTTTGTTTAGGTAGCTTTAGGTTTGAGTAGGTAGCGTTAGATTTGGTTGTCAGGTTCGGTGAAGGTTAAGTTTGATGGGGTTAGGACAGGTTACGCTAGCCAAGGTTATATAAATTTAGGTGCGATGCTGTAAGTTTCCATTTTTCAGACAGGAGCAAATTTCAGTTTTCTAGGCAGGCAGTTCAAGTGCTTCAAGAATGAGATAGTTTTGAAGATTAATATTGCAAGTGCTTGTAAAATTTGTGTTGTTGAGGCTTATTTTCATTATTACCATGCTTTTTACGATTCCAGGATATGGAATGAAAATAAATTGTGCGAAAACGCAGCTAAGAAAACAACTTGAAGGGAGACATGTTGTAATAGTGAAGCTAAACGTGAATACAGGGTCCGTCATATTTATGGTAACGCATGTTTTTTGTTATTTCATAATGAAACAAACAGGTGCATTGTTTTTTATTGGATGAGCTAGTAGCCAAGAATTACTTAAACGATTCTCAGACATATTTATTCAATATAACAACCTTTATTTTTAATGACGGCCTCCAATCTACGCGGGAAAGCTTTACAGGAGACACGCAGCATTTCTTGAGGGATCAAGTCACATTTTCGTGTTAATTTAGACTTCAAACTATCCAAAGAATCATGAGGTGTTCTGCAGACTCTACTCTATAAAATAGCCCACACAGAAAAGTCGAGAGGATTCAAATCAAGGCTTCTTGAGGGCCATTCAATTTTGCTAATGAACGCTGGGATGTGACCCTAAATCCAGTTTTGGGTCATGTGTGAGCCATGTGATGGGGCAGAGTCTTGTTGAAAAGTCCATGGTGAGCCGTTGAAGTGTTTACGGGCCCAAGGTAACAACACAGCTTTCAAAATGTCCGAAATGTATCGCTGACTGTTCAATTTCTCTCCTGAGGGGACAAAAACGAGTGGGGACCTGCCAGTGGCGGTTACCGCGGCCCAAACCATCACGTACATGGGATTTTGATGTCGTGTTGCTATTCTGGTTGCCACAGATCCATCCTGACTCCAAACTCTGTCATTTTGACGGTTAACGCTCTGTTCAATGTCAAATTTTTTCTCGTCACCGAACACCAAGTTGGGCAGCGTGCCATCCTCAATGAGATCCAGAATGTGCTGGCATCTTTTGAGCCTCATTGTTCATGACGGTCTGTTAGTTCATGCCTTGTTTGCATTTTGTAAGGTGAGGTTTTGAGGTCATCTTTGAGGACTCTACGCATTGACGTACGACTGACTCCTGCTTCTGCAGCCAATTGTGCAGCTGAGCGACGAGGGTTTCTCAACTTCTCCTCAACTTCGTTTCCTTCCTTGACCAGGTCGATTGCATGTTTCACCCGTTTCTTTGAATTTATTACCACCTTCCACACAGTTTCACGGCGAATTTGGAGCGTTTTTGCAATTACTGAATTACTCTCGCCCTTGTCATGAAATGTTACAATCGCATTTCTATCTACTTACTGCCATAATTAATAGCAAATTTAGAAACCTTAGACTTCTGCAATATAAAATAGACGAATTAATAGATGATATTAGGCTTCATTATAAAAGAAAAGTCTCCTAGAAACCAATTTATTTTTATATGGCAAACATCCTTTGCCATAAATATGGGGGGCCCTGTAATATGGTCTTTAAAGATTATGGGCTATTTTTTTTATTAAAGGCCTCCCACACTCACCAATCCAAAAAAAAAAAGAATTGATTTTATCAATTAAAAACAGGGAATGGTTTCATGTCAATGATCAGGGCCCCGACCTTAACGCCTCTGATGGTAGCCTACACCGACTCCGAGGGTCACTGAGCTGTGACGCGAGCGAGGAGCGGGCCCACGTCGAACTTTTCTCTGACTCCTGTTAGGATGCTAGCTGCATTGCCTCTCTGCACAGCCAAACCCAACCTTTGCTCCAACCATAGAGTCTCTCTACGTTCGCCGGACAATTCCGTAATGCGACGTCCAATCTCTGATATTAAAGGACCAGTCGTTTCACCATATGTGCCCGTCGTTTCTAATCCGGCTGGCTCGAAACGATACCGAGCTGCCAACGCCGCGTATTTACGCCTCTTGCTATCCTCCGCCGCACGAGCCGCGAACCCAGCAGTAGCGCGAACCCAGATAGCCATGATGGGCTATCTTGGGTTAGGGTAGGGAAAAATGACGTTTTTCTTTACCAATTTATTCTGGCTAGGTATTGAATCTTGTAGTGAAATTCAAATACTACAATTTATGAATAAATGTTATATAGAAAATTTCGGGTACTAATAATAAAGACGATGTCGATTCCTTCACTTCAGTACTTACTATAATTATGAAAACGTTATTCAATGAATACTTATTGCTAAAACTCGGTACGAGGTTAATTGAACGGTTAATCAAAACGGTTGTGTAAAAATGTGCCGGTTAACTTGTAAAATTAATTTAATTTGTAATCAATGATTTTAGAATCGATCATTTTTAACGCTACCCATTTCTATAAACAAAATTAAATCTAGGTGATATTTGTCTATGGTTTTCAAAATTCACTTTAACGTTAAGCTAAGAAACCATCAACAATTATTTATGGAGACTCTGCAGAAAAAATCTGTTGTTCATGTGAAAAAATGATTTACTGTATTGTCAAGAATTCCGTTGTCACTGAATTAGAAGATCTGTCCGAATCGTAATGCTCGACACGTAAACAAACTTATAGTGTCTTATACCTGAGTTTACTTTTATGTTCGTGGTCGTGGACGTGGAGCAGTGTCTTTTTGGCAAGGAAGCACACAAAAGTATTTGTGAGTAATTATTTGATCATTCATTATTAACTAGTTTTACTATCATTGAAAATAGCCCATATTCTGCAGTATAAAGTAAGACACAATTATTATAATATACTAAAGTTTTGGTAGCTATGCCAAGCAGCTGCCAGCCAAGGCAATGCCTATCATGGGCCTATGGCCTATAGGCTTATAATATAACTATACCATACTTAACTACAGTCTATAGCCTCATATACTGATATACTCATTATACTATAGGCAAGGTAGGTACTAGGTAGCTGTAGCTCGTAGCTGGTAGCACAATCATTGAGGCAAGTTATGTCAAATTAATTGCCTTATTGTCACTTAGTTTGGAATTTGGATTGTGATGGAATGGTGGTTTTTATAATGCTATAGGCCTGTAGCTACACTCCTGACTCATTGACTCCTGGCTTTTCATTGGATCATAATATATGATTGATAATTTGATATGGCCAATAGCAAAAGATTGATATAGTCTTAATGCAAGTCCTCAGTAATTAACTGTTGAGGCGGCTACCACCTTTCATCATCTGACAAGTGACAACAAGTTAACAACATTACTGAATGATCTAAATTCTGGTAAAATTCTGATTATGGCTTCATTTCAGGAGTTAGAGGAGCCAGTGTTTGACTGTGAGCTGTGATCAGGGTGATGGGTGCCAACTCAAGCAGTTTCAGCAGTCTTTCATCCAATGAGTTGCTCAAAAAATTTGTTAGCCCTGAAATTATATCTTACAATGACCCATTCTGGAATTCATTGCTTTCTTTTGCTTCAAAGGTTCCTCGATCTAGGTGAGTCTGTGCAGAATTCAGGTATAATATTTTCTTTTGAATCAAATATATAATCTTAAAAGTAACTTTTTACAGTCTAAATATCTAAATTTTTTAAATATATATGTTTGTTGAATTACTCTGTAAGCTTTACAATGCAAAAATTAATTTTTTCTCAGCGGAGATTCCCGTTTGCTGGATGAAAATATAGAAAGCCTTTTCCATGAGCTTGTGAAGAATTCTCCTCAATCTGGTAACTTGGGCACACTCATTAGTGTCTTTCTGGCCCGAGGTGTTGAGCTCAAGGAGTCTGCAAGATGCAACAAGTAAGCTTATTTATTTGAGTGCATCATAATTTTTTATCATTTTACATGAGATTATTAACTATAGTTTTTTTTAACTACTGAAATTGTAGCAACACTGTGTACATTGGCTCATGTAAAATATAATTTTTCTCTTATTACTATTGAATGTTTATTTTGATGGCCATGTTCATTTAGGTTCCTCCTAATTCCAGCATGCAATTTAATAAAAACTAGTAACTAGTCAATATCTTACCATTGGATGAGCTTAATTACATTCAGGTGTACAAAATAGGAAAAGAAATTGAAATTGATTGTTGTCCCCTGTGCAGTTCCTTATTTGTTTGGCATGCCCACAACGCTCTTCTCATAGTGCGGGTAGTGACGAAGCTTCTGCTAGAGCACTATACTGAAGATGAAGTTTTACAAATTCTCTCACTCCAACGTTCAGGTAAAAATATTTAAGTTCATGCACTAGACTAGATGGAACAAATTTTCAATTGATAGCATTACTAGGTACCTATTTATTTAAAAAGGACAGTTTTACCATCAATCTTGTTTTAAACCTTTTCACACCTTTTTTAACCCCACTGATGACAGAGAGCAGCATACCAGCAAGTATTGTTAGCTGTGGCAGTCCAGTGAGTCAACTGCTGCGTCGTGTTGTATGCATTCTGGTTGAGTTGCCACTCTCTCCCACCACCAGCGCTCTGCACCTTGAGGCTATCACTGCACTCACTGTCTTCCTCTCTGCACAACTGGTGCAGAGATCTGATGTGCAACACAGGAACAAGTTCTTCAGGCATGTGAAATGCTTGCAAAGTTGTTTGATAGGTCATTTTACAGAATGTATTTAAAAATTAGGATTTTTGAAGTTGTATGCATAGTTTTTTATGTTCTTTTGTTGAATGCAGAATTCAATTATTCATTACTAATTTCTTGATGGGTTATAATAGCTTATGAAGACCTGATTACAGGTTGTTGTGTTGCAGAGTCATAGTGCGCATTATTTGGAAAATTTTTGTAACTTTTGAAGAGGCAGTTCAACATTTTTGGCATGTATTGTGGCTCTTAAAGTGATATATGGCTTGAATATAAGTTGTTTAGTTGTGATAAAAGTTAATGAGAAAAGATTCTAAGTAATGACGTAGTATGTTCACAAGCATATGCAAATTTAGAAATTAAATATTTGTTGGCAGGTTACTTCACGAAAGTTGTGGAAGCAAAGAGAAGGTGCAACTGATGGAGACGCTGATGTTGTGGCTTATCCAGCGACCGCCTCCACCACCTGACCCTGATTCTTCAGGCAGCTTTGTCGCGGGGTTGGCAGGTTTGTGATAAGCTCATGGTGGGCTGTACATAGCTTTTAGATTTGTTAATGATATTGAACTCATATACAGACGATATGGATACTTGAGCTTCTGTACGAGAAGTTAGACAAAATGACTTGAATAGATGACATAATTATTGTTAGAAAGTGGCTTTAATGAGAAGTGTAATGCTGTTTAACAGAATAGCTTTTTTTGGGAGGTGATCGAAGTAGCAAAAAATCATGCTATAAGAGACGGTCTAATTTACTGATGTAACTTGGGAGCGAAATTATCTTAATTAGTGACACATTCCAGTGAAGAATAAATTATTGAATATGGCAATGGAAGCAAAGGCAGGCTTTTGGTACAACAAAAGCAAGCCATTTGGAAATATTTATTTTTAATTGGTGATGAGGTTTGGATAAACTAACCTAGTGCTCTCAAATCTTTTCAGCCACATGCATGAAACGTGTTTGACACAAGCACTGGAAGGAACCACTTCTAGAACATTGTATAGGTACTTTGCTTAGCATATTTTACGCTCTTCACTTATAAAAGCAACTCTTCAGCTGGCTTGTGGTCGGTGCTGACGTTGGGCTTGGCTGGCAAGGACGCTGCTGATGGCGCTGATAATGAAGCTGAGCTACCACTAGTTCATAAGGACGTTCCTCCCTCGCCTCTTGCTGACCAGAGTCAGTTACTGCTGCTGGTGCTGGCGACCCACACCACTCACAACACCTTCAGAGATGTTTTCTTCTCGTGCACCAACGAGCGAGGTAAGTACAGCCACGCCTTCTTCTCGTGCACCAACGAGCAAGGTAAGTACGTTAAAGTTCTCTTCTCGTGCACCAAACTCCTGAGTTAACTGACTATTAAATTATCTCACAAATTGTACATGGTTGAGACTGGGAAAGTATATTTTTACCTCAGGTCCAGACACGGGGGAGCTGAGTCTTCCCTTCGCTGATTTATATGCCGCACTCACTCTGACACTGCACACCGAGCAGACCACGCTGCTGCTCTACATGCTCCTCCACAACTGCCGGCACTTCAGGTTAGGCTTCAATAATGTTCAAATCTGTGGCTAAAGCTTCCCGAGCTTGTGCATACTCTACTTAGGACCTCCCCCAGACTGTACCTATTCAACATATAAGCTGCATCATACTGTACATAATCTTAATAGGGCCTCTTTCAGACTGTACCTACTCTTCATAGGGCCACTCTCAGACTGTACCTACTCTTCATAGGGCCTCTTTCAGACTGTACCTACTCTACTAGGACCTCGTTCAGCCTCCCTAGGACCTCCTTCAACTTATACTTGACAAAATGCTTCCCTCAGACTGTACGTGCTGAGCCGCAGCGACGTCGAGGCGCTGGTGCTGCCGCTGCTGCAGGCTTTGTACTTCGCGTCAAAGCTCTCCTCCCATCACGTCTACATGGCGCTCATCGTGCTGCTCATGCTGAGCGAGGACACTGCATTCAATGCTGCACTGCACGACATAGTATTTTGTTATTGTTGTTGCTCATCCTAGATCCTAGTAGTGGTGATTAGGGAGGGGGTGATGGGTCAGATTTTCAGGACCCTATAGCCACAGGTATAGTAGGACCATCACTGGTTCGCTACCAGACCTCATTGTGTCAGATTATTTTGCGTTTAGCCTAAATTTTGGACAGGATATCATGAAATTCTACAATAATATGATTTCACAGGTTAAAGTCTCTTAGGTTTATTATACACTTCACCCTATTAAAAAGTATCGTTTATTCTCGGTTAAGGTTTGCTCATCGTGTGTAGTCAACTTTTACCTTGAAATAATGACGTTTCTTAACTAGTGAAACGTTTACCTTGCATCTAAACTTGTAACTTGCCAGTAGGTACCTAAATACACAACACAGATCGTCAATGTTTTGATTGTAAGCTGCATTAATTTAGGATTAAAAGCATTTTTGGAATTATAACTAAAGGAAAACCTAAATTTAAAATGAATGTTTGTAGCCTGCAGGCAGCGTGTCGTGGTTCACGGAGCGTCCGCTGTCCAACATGTCGCTGGGGGACCTCCTCATACTCGTCCTCATCCGCACCATCACCTTCAACATGACCAAGATGAGGGTCAGTTGCACTACCTCATTATCAACTGCTGGCTGATGTTACATTATCAACTGCTTTCTGATGTTACATTATCAACTGCTTACTGATGTTACATTATCAACTGCTTACTGATGTGCCATTATCAACTGCTTACTGATGTTTCATTATCAACTGCTTAATGATGTTCCATTATCAACTGCTTACTGATGTTACATTATCAACTGCTTACTGATGTTCCATTATCAACTGCTTACTGATGTTCCATTATCAATTGCTTACTGATGTTCCATTATCAACTGCTTACTGATATTCCATTATCAACTGCTTAATGATGTTCCATTATCAACTGCTTACTGATGTTACATTATCACCTGTTAACTGATGTTCCATTATCAACAGTTTACTGATGTAGTTTACTGATGTTTCATTATCACCTGTTAACTGATATTCCATTATTAACAGTTAACTGATGTTCGATTATCAACTGTTTACTGATGTTCCATTATCAACTGCTTACTGATATTTCATTATCACCTGTTTACTGATGTTCCATTATCAACTGTTTACTGATGTTCCATTATCAACTGTTTACTGATATTCCACTATCAACAGTTTACCGATGAAGTTTACTGATGTTTCTTTATCACCTGTTAACTGATGTTCTGATCAACACTTTACTGATCTTTCATTATCATCTGTTTACTGATGTTCCATTATTAACTGTAATCTCTAGTGCCTGGGCATTAAATAAATCATGTCATCTCATCACTTATGTCACTCTTACCTTGGGTTTCAACTGAACCTAATCTCCTCTTACTAATGCTCCTTTCTTCGTCTGGATCTCAACTAAAACTTTCTAAATCCTGAACTAAACATATGTCTTTCCCTCGAAAATGTCCAGTTTTATTTGGCTCTCAATTATATAATTACCCCTCACTTACCTCCCATCACTCACCTCCCCTCACTTACCTCCCCTCACTTACCTCCCCTCACTTACCTCCCCTCACTCACCTCCCCTCACTCACCTCCCCTCACTCACCTCCCCTCACTTACCTCCCCTCACTCACCTCCCCTCACTTATCTGCCCTCACTCACCTCCCCTCACTCACCTCCCCTCACTCACCTCCCCTCGCTCTCCTCCCCTCACTCTCCTCCCCTCACTCACCTCCCCTCACTCACCTCCCCTCACCATGTCCAGGACCGCTACCTACACAGCAACTGCCTGGCTGCCCTGGCCAACATGTCTAGTCAGTTTCGCAGCGTACACCCGCATGTCTGTGAGCGTCTCACGTGCCTCCTGGAGACCCTGGCTCGTAGACACGCTCGGGTCTGCGAGTCCATCAAGACCAGCGAAAACCACGACAACCACGTCGTGGCCTGCGACCAGGAAGACGAGCTGGTCTGGGGCGATGATATGACATGATATTCGGGGCGGTTGATCTGTTATACGTTTTTCGATGTAAAATTATTTAGAATGTATGCTTGTTCATTTAAATGAAATGCCATTTAAGGTAAAATTTGATTTCTTTTTGACCAAAATTGAAACCCTCATAGCGAAAATCCCCTCGAGTGTTGTTGATTCTGTATATTAATGAGAAATTTCTGGGCAGTTAAGTGACCTGAGCGTCATCGAAGAGGTGCTGCGCATGGTGCTCGAGATAATCAACTCTACACTCACCCATCAACTCGCCCACAACTCGCAACTCTTGTACACTTTGCTCTACAAGCGACACATTTTCTTACCGTTTTCTACGCAGCCCAACTTCTCTGACGTTTGTATGAACATCGACGTCGTACTTAATTATCTTATGAACAAACTCGAGAACTCCACAACTGATCCTTCCGTCTCCGATGTCTTGGTGAGAAATGTTATTTTGGTTAAATGTTTCAAATATTTGGTTAGATATATTTTTAGTATTTTGGTTCTAATTTAGTTATTATCAGTTCACCGATTTTTCTGAATAGCAATATTTTTTTCTTACTGTATTCTTTCTGCGCATAAATCTAATCGAATTAATTTTTTCTGCGGTCACTCTTAAAATTGTTTTTACTTGCATTCATTTCTCGCATTTACTGTGTCTGATGTTTTCTTGCTACATATAAATTTCGCCAGATATATGTACTAGGTATTTCTACAGGTTTTCTTGAATTAACTAATTTGAGTTTCAGCCAAGTGTACCAACATGCATATTTTTCATGATAGAAATTCCTGGAGTTATTTATTTATTTGTTCTTCATATAAGCATTGAAACAAACATATTTGTGCAGCAAGTGATAGAAGAAGGCGTATTGCAGCTGCCCAAGGACCGTCTGCACAAGTTCCCTGAGTTGAAGTTCAAGTACGTCGAGGAGAGCTCGCCAGAGGAGTTCTTCATGCCGTACGTGTGGACGCTGGTGTACCAGAGCTCTGGCCTCTACTGGAACCCTTCACGAGTCTCGCTTATTGATCCTATAGATTGCAGTGCATAGAAAATAGCGTTACGTCTGATTTTCCTTTTCCTTAACCTTTCAATGAGAAATTACATTGGATAAAAAGACGTCATGTAATCTTTCGTGTACCAGAACTCTGGCCTCTACTGGAACCAAACACGAGTCTTGCTTATTGACCCATAGAATGCAGGGCATAGGAAGATGTTACTGTCATCCTTCCATGCGAATTTTTAATGAAAAATTATAGTGGATAAAAAGACATGTTTTCATGCTTCAAGTATTGTTGTTTCTGTCGCATCAGAAATTCTTATGCTGGAGCTAACGAGGCATATTAATTAGCTTTATTTATTTCGAGATCCGGTCGTAGTAAGACGTATTTTTTGTCGATATTCAGCATGTGGTCCCTGAATGAAGTTTATGCAATACTGTCTTAATCGCTGTTGTGAAACTCTAATTTTATTCTGAACATAAAATTGTAGTTTATTCTATTAATAAACTTTTGTGTAACTTGTCGGCCAAATCACTTTGTCTTTGCACAGCTATTATTTTTGAGAAAGATTGTCTTGGAAAAGGAAGATGTTCATCTTTTCTTGATGTGTCAATGAATATGCTGTGTACTTAATATTTTCTTTTACTGTAACAACAACAATGGCAATCGTTAATGAGTAGAACTAGTGGGTACTTAATGATTCACTATTTAAGTATTTGTTTTGCTGCATTGTCGATTACGACTAGGAAGGTTTTTATTCATTATTGCTTTTTTTCGGTTCGGCGGAGAATTTGTATTATGTCTTCGTTTGTGTTGCGTGATTATGTGGTATGTCTTTAAAATCTATTTTTTTTATACTTACGTGGCTCACCATGTTCATTAGATAGGCACCAGCTCCTGAAATTGATTGAGAATTTTTGATTTGATTGATATTTCATTCGATTGAGAATTTAACTACTCGCTCTTTTGGGATTTGCGCTTAATTATTCATTCAATCAGTCATAATTTACAAGTTTATCTATCATTCGTGACAGTAATATTAGTCAAAAGGTTAAATTTTCACGAGCACTTTGAGGATTGCAAAAATTTCTATGTTGTTGTCGTGGTGAATACTTGTTATTCATGTCGAATACAAACATTTTTTTGCACCAGAGATGATAGAATCATGGTCGTCTGCGGGTATATTTCGATTCTCAATTCCAGTAAAAAGTCAGCATCTGTATTGGGTTTTCTATAGAGTTTTTATTTTATTTCAATTGATCCTACAACTCCCACCGACCCCGAAGACTGCGCTAGTTGATCACGCACAGTCGTGTCGCCATGAACTGCCGTACGAAACGATTCGTAACGCAAGCATTTTCGTGTAAAAAATGTGCGTCCCTGGCCATGTCCATTATATCATTTCTTTCAAGATCATTCATGTTGCCACAAGTTTATTTCAGTGTAAAGTTGTTTCGTTTTACAAAAATGTTATGCAAATTTCACTCGACAATAGAAAATCCTATAAAAATATGATTTATTTTGTAGAAAAATATCTGCTATTTCATTTTCTTTTGTACAAGTTATTTGTGTTTATAAGGATATTTATATTATTTATTTTTGTCGTATTCTTGAAGCTATGAGCCGGTTATTAAAATTATGCGTATGTGAGTTTAATTTTATCCTTCAAGCTGCGCGGTATTACGGCCCACATTATTTAGTTCATTTGAGAAGTCAACAAGTTATATAGGAAATTAATGAGTAAGAAAGTAGGGTAACATGGGGCAGCGTGCTCTCATCTCTTTTCAAAATAAATTTCTGATAAAGTTTTAATTGATACGAGGTGTGTTTTTTTAAAGTTACAACTTATGAGGAATGTGATGTGAATTAGACGCCAATAGATTTATTCAATTTTGAACGAAAGATTATTTTTTAAGAAGTGTCAAATGGGCCCTTTGCCCCCACCTCTGGGGCAAGATGCCCACCCCTTGGTCCATTTACCTCAATTGAATACTTTTTTCAGATTAATGATGATAAAACAACACTTTACAGTTCAACATTATTAAAATGAAATAAATATTACATCCATCCATTTATTAACACTTTAAAAAGTATATCTTTAACTTTACTAAAATAAATTCTTTTTTAAAAAACCTTTCGCTGACGTTAAAAAATATTTCCTTGACACTAGAAAATATTTCCTGGACTTGAAAATATATCCCTGACATGAAAAAATGCATTCTTGACATAAAAGATATATCCTTGACATGAAGAATGGATCCTTGACTAGAGAAAATATATATACTTGACCAGGGAAAAACTTCGTTTCTATTTTTTCCATAATCCAGCTATTATGTGCAGAGTCAACTTATTATTAGAGTCAACCACACGAATTCTTAAATTGTTGGAAATTCAAATAGTTTAATTGTACAGGAATGCGATTACTAAATCGTGGAGGAATGCAAATCCTTAAATTCTTCGGCTCTATAAAATTCTTCAGCCAATCTCTGCCAGCCATATTGGTTTGCTTATTTTATGGTCGATTTATGTTTTGTCGCTCAGCAATACTGACTATAATTCTTCTTGCATTTGTACATGTTAGTACAAATATTCTTTTTTGCATATCTTTAATGTACGTAGCGCATTGCAACTTCCGCATCTTCAGGAATGGGTTTCTCCTATCATCCTAAATAGATCGAGATGAACGTCAAGTTAGGTTTTGCATTCGAGTGCGCAGGCCAGTTCGCTGAAGTGTCGATTCGGTCTAACTCTAAATAAAGAACTCCAGGTAGCTTCATCTTGCTGTCGCAGAGCCGACGCAACGTTTTCTTGGTAATTTGAACTTTGCTCGTGTAGCCTCCAGCGATTTGCCACAATTAATTTCCTCCAAGACATTCTGGAATTCAGTTTGCGAATTGTTGGCATTCTTATTATAGTTGCGCACCACGTATTGAACGTGAAAGAAAGATAAGGGGTCATAGATATTTAGAAACTAGAACCTGCTGCCATTAAGAGGCAAATTAAAAATAATACAACACAATGAATAATTTTTATTCAAAAAGCTCGTCAAGTTTTGTAGAGCTCATTGAGGCAAATCTAATGCTGTATAACAAGACTTCACAGAGAGGTATTGAGCCCACCATGGGCGCTTTGCCCCGTGACACGCACGAGCCCGTTGCCCTACTAGGAACTGTTTCAATTTATATCGTGTTAACGTAACGGTCTATTTGAAAGCTAATAGTCCAAACAAAAACTCAAAATTATCCTTATAAACAATACTGTAAAATATAATTCACAGTACTTTCATAAGCTTCATATACAGTAATCTAAAACAGTTTTATTTTGCAGCAAAAACATTTTTATTTAGCAGCTAAAACAGGCATTTTTAATGTAACTTACCAACGCAAACTCTCAGCAAAACGTAGAGCCACACACTTCAGCCCAATGAAACTGTCGACCGGCGGTAGAAAACACAGACCAATATCTGCCATACCTAGCGGGAAACCCGCAGAGGGCTCGCTGCCCCATGTTACCCTATTGTTTTAAAATCGAATGCCATCAAGTTGGATTTTGCAGAGTTCAGGTTTTGAAGCGAATTAAATGTTGGAAATGCATTGGAACAACTAAAATGATTCCTACCCTTCTAAGTGTCGCTAAATTTATGGATATTTTTTGAAATTTAATGTTTGCGAGGTTGTCAAAATAGGATAAGGAATGAGTGCAGCCATTTGCCGAGTCATCTTATATTTTAAAATTTTGCTGATTGTCGCAGACAGGATAGTACGGTTGTCTTATCAGGTAAAGAGTAATTATATTGAAACAATACCTAGAATTTTTTTCAGCTACAACAATAGAAAATGAGATAATTTTATAGTTTCTGTCAATAATGACTCTGAACATGAATATCGTCTCAGAAGCAGTGCGCGTTTCACGGTCAAGATGGCCACGATAAAAATCGTCATCTTGAGACATGAAAATTCTCGAATAATGTAAGTTTTTCGAATAATGTCAATGATATCGATTTTGCTGTTATCCGTTCAAGGGTCAATCAGGTTAATAAACATTTTGCAGGCATCCTGATGAAGTTGAAAAATTTATTTACGCAGTCACTGGATTATTTTGCGTGCCTGCAATCCGGAAGATGAAAATCTTTCCAGGCATCTATAATAAATTAAAAATACTCATTCACTCATGTTGAACGGTAATAATTTGCGGTAATTAACGGTAATTAGTTATGGTTATTTACGGTAAGAGGTAACAGGTTTTTTTTCAAGCAATTTTTGACGTTTGCAAGAAGCCATTTCCACGATGAAGCTCGTCAACCCCAGCACCAACCCCATGACAAGGAGGATGAAAGGGCCTTGAAGGTGCGACATCTGGAGTACCACCTGGGGATCAGAAATAGATGGTATAATAAATAATATACTATAATTTACAATTATTAGTTATCAACAACAACTATTCAGTTGAGCTAAGTGTTATATGCTTTACTGCCGGGATAAACTGTTAATCAGGACATCTGCAGAACAACCTGAGCATTAATTGTCAATAATAATTATTCAATTTCGACAAAATGTTAATAAAACAGCCTGGATAAAACAGCTTTAATAAAACCTTACAGCCTGAATAAAACTGCAATTCAGGTTGATGGAACAGTTAATGGAATAGAACTAGAGGTTTTTGTGAAATAAAAAATATCCATTAATTGAAAAAAAATTTTTGGAGACAGAAGTTGAAATATTCCGTGTTCTTCCTTACCAAAAAATCATAGTCGAAAATGAAAACAACATCATCTGCGCTATATTTCTTACCGAACCATTATGTATATGTCGTATAACACATCATCGGTGCTGGATTGCTTACCAAACCATCATCATCTATTGGTCGTAACACATCATCGGTGCTGGACTGCTTACCAAACCACCATCATCTATTGGTCGTAACACATCATCGGTGCTGGACTGCTTACCAAACCATCATCTATTGGTCGTAACACATCATCGGTGCTGGAGTTCTCATGTTTCTCTTTAGCGTAGAGTTTGTTGAGCTGCAACACCCAGCGCGATACGAGCCCAGCTTGCAGACATCGCTGCATCAATTGATCAATGGTCCGCATATATGGTGCACCCTGTCCATAAATTTCAATACATAAGTATTCATTAACAAAATTATCACAAAGAGAAGGCTTTTACCTGGTTAAACGTACGTTCATAAAATGTCATACTTAATCATTATCATCAGCCATTAAATTTGCACAACGAGAAAACCAATTATTTCTTGTCAATGATTAATTAAAGAGCATCAGCACGTGTAACTCAATTATTATATTAAAAATGTTAGTATTTGAACCTAATTAATATTGGTTTAGAAAGTGGACATAAATATTCGATTTGAAATGAAAATTCGTGGACGAGATATTTGAAGCCAGTTAAACTATTATAGTGTAAGCAAGCATATCTTTATAATTTAAATGAATAATTATTTTAAGGCAAATTATATTTATAAAATTATATTCGGAAATAAATTAGTTGCAGAAACTTGGTAAACCTCATAAGTGCTTAATTTTATTATTACAAAATTAATTTCATCATTTCTAACCTTGGGGAAGGCCCAGGCATAGCCTCCGGGGAAGAAGTTTTCTGCCGCGATGTGCATGTAAGTTTGCCCAGCGCTGTGGTACAGGGAGGTTGAATAACTCATTTATTCTGAACATTTAGTGATGATTACAGCTGTATAACAACTGTGCAATAGCGTGCCAGACGTGTGCAACGACAACCAAGTAAAGGTCCATTCGACTTGTATAAAAACTGAAAAATAACTTCCAAATAACCAAAAAAATTTGCTAATTGAATTGTCTCGCATTGTCTCTGAGTATAAAAATATTTCAATATTTGTTCAAAATTGTGCCTAAACATGTAACTAAATGATTCAGTCATTGCCAATAAATGTATTTTATTCGCAAGGAATCTAATTTTGACTTGAGTTCAAAATAATTTAAATATACATTACAAACATCAAGGATATAATTTGTTTTACATTTATTTTCAGTCACATTTATTTTCAGCTACATTTATTTTCAGACAAATTTATTTTCATCCAAAAGTAAGTTAATTCAAATGCTGTCTTGGCCATGAAAATTCTTTTAAACATACTCAGTCATATACATCACTCAAAATTTTCATCTGCATCATCAAACATATGTAAATCGTAAAGACGTAAAATGAATGAAATTGATGAATTTGACGCTGACCGGTCGGTGTACTCAGACATGACGATGCTCTCGATGTTCGCCCTGAAGTAAATGTACGCGTAGCTTCCCTCAGCCACGCGCCGCATTGATTCTTTTGACGAGTAAAACGACATTTTCTGGAACAGCTTCTGGTACAGATCGATTTTGGATGTCGAGAACAGCTGATATTCTGAGCCCTACAAAATATTTAAAATGCTTATTGGAATTCATTTGAACAATAAAATTTTTTTATGTGACCTTATTCACAAAAGCATCGGTCACATTCACAAAAGCATTATATATAAAAGCTAATTGAATTAGGCCTAATAAATCTTACCACACAATTCGTTTCCACATAAGAAAAATTATAAATGTGTACAATTGTAACCCAATATATATTCTACAATACTCTGAAATTTGATTTTGTTAGACATACAGTAGTTCAGTATGGACTAGATATGCAATATTATGCTGTAAGTCACAAGGACTTTGCGTAACTGAGATCTTACATTATTTTCATCCTGCATTGATAGGAAAATTTAAGGGAAATTAAACGATTTTCGTGTTAAGGGATGGGCGCATCTTGAAAATAAAGCAAAAGCAAGTGATGTTTTACTACAAGACTAGAGCATAAAAACTTTAAATATTCAAGCATTTATGGTACTCAGTACCGTGTGTATAAAACAGACACACACCTTAGCATCAATCATGCCATACTGGATCTTGGAGTCGTAAAGTTCTTGCAGCGTGTTGAGGGTAGGCGGTGTCGTGGGTACAGCAAGGACGGCCATGAGGGCGGACTTGTAGTATGTGGTTGTCAACAGTCCGTATATCAACCAGGTTGCAATGAACACCTGTTCAATATTTGAACGTTAAACATTGATTTATATAATTAGTTTTGTATATATAGTAGATATTTATTTCATTAGTTGTATATATAGAGTAGATACTTAGTTTTCCTAAATCGCAAGTTCGCCAGGAATTTAAAAGCAAAGAAAACTCTAACAATAACTAAATTCATCGTATCTTCACTAAAATCATTTGGGTGGCCATACCAATAATCAGTTCAAAAAGTTTTAGAGAATACAAGTACACTCAGGTGTGAAATATTAAATTATTGATTTTTGTTGGACATTTCGAATTGAATTAGTAACTTGAAATTTCCCACTAACAGTAAAAATTGATTTACTTTACATCTTTAATAATTACACTTTTTCACCTGTGTCATGGTTTTTGATGGAATTCGTTGGAGATTTTGACTGAGGAAACTGCCGAAGATGTCCAGGCAACTCTGGGAGAAGGTTGCGCGCTGGCCGATCAGGGGGTTGAGCTTGCGGAGGCCGTGGTAAAGCACAGAGCAAGTCCCCAGAGTCGTGCCCCACAACAGCCACACGTTGTCTGCGAGGGAAAAATCCCAGAGTGACTCTCTAATAACAGCCACACGTTGTTTGTGAGGGGAAAAAAATTCCCAGGGTGACTACCTCTTAAAAAGCCACACGTTGTCTGTGAGGGGAGAAAATCCCGAGAGAGTCTCCTTCAAAGTTGTCATCGCAAATTTGTACGTATTTTTGGCAATACACCAAGAAAGCGTTTCATCTTTATTTAAATTTTGAAAATATAAAAGGATTAAAAATATTCATCTCCTCACTAGCGAAAGGCTCGAAGACTTTCTGCCACTGCGGCAGCGGTCGGTTCTTGGCCGTGACAAAGGTCAATGGGTCCGTGTAATACATGCGTGTGAAGTCGAGGATGAGTCGTCGCTCCATCGTCAGGGATAAAACCAACGAGAAGTTACTGCGACGAAACTGCACGTCACCCACGACTCCCGTCCATGACCCCTGGGGGGGTTATCGTCTCATATAAATTCAAAAAGTTGTTTAAAATTGTTAAAGGATTTAGATTATCTGTAGGTCGGCGTCTAAGATAAACAGAACATTTCACCAAACGCTCATGTACATTGTCCTTGCAAATGTTTGTTACTTGTTACGATAGGAATGTGCAAATGCACGCAATCATATGAGCTGCAACATATATATCCAATATCAAAATGCAAAGTATATATCCAAATACGTGTTTATAATCTTAATCCAATTTAATATTAGGATAAGGACAGTTATATCCCAGTAAAAATCCTACGTTCTCGAGGCGAGTTCCCCATAAGTCATCCATTGGAGTTACGATGTCGTAAGTGAAGTTAAGATGGCGAGCGACTTCTCGTAAGATGTAAATATCCAAACTCGGAGCTTCTTTCACGACCCGAGTGTTGGGCTGCCGTATGAAGTCAGTGAAGGGACGGAAATCCAGAGTGGATATATGAAATTTTTCCCCGTAGAAGTTCTTCATTTGCTCAGGGTATATTTCCTCTTGGTTTTCAATTGGAGTCCCTGGTTTCCATGTTAAAGATTTTTTAATTAATGGTCCACCAGAGCTTGTATACAACTGACGGACATACACATGCCATGCGCTCGCATTGTAGAGCATTCCGACGGCATTTTCTTCTTCACGCATGTTCGTGTCAAGCAAAAAATTGTTCAAAATTTCCTTGGAATCGCAAAAGACAAGGAAGATTTTTTTGACGCTGCCAGATGGAGACAAAGACGCTAAAAGTTTTTCAGAAGGAGGATAAGGTAATAGAATCACGATACAGTTATTTTTCGAATAACCCTGCGTAGTTTCCTTTAAAGAACTAAGTATGCTCATCCCATCTTCGTCATCCTTCAGTAGAATGTGTGGTTCGTTAGACCAAGCCAGGCCGACGGACACTTTCAGGCATTTTTGGCTGTACTGTGAAGCCAGAAAGGATGCCACCGTTAACTGATCCGTTGTTAATGTAGGTGAAATCTTCGAGCTGTTGAACCCATGAAATGTTGTTGGCTGAATATGTTCAAGATTTGCGTATGGAAACAATTTTAGCAGCTTAGATGTTGAATTAAATAGTAAGTTATGCTGGTCAGACCTAAGTGATGAGTCAAAATTTCCCGAATCCAGATTAAAATTTCCAACGTCATTGCTTATAATTTCAGATGTCGCGGTTGTATTCAAAAGATGATTCAGATAACCGACATGCAAATTATTGTAATTAGGCTTTGTAATTACATTATAAGAAGCAACCTCATGAAAAACATCGTGAGTTTCGTTGCCAATGCTTCGGTCTATGCAATAAATAATTAGTAGTAATCGGAATATCGTGATTGTAGAGAACCCAAAAATCCCCGCTAAACGATTCACATTGTCTATTTTCAACATCCCTTAATTGCCAGATCTGAAAAATGAACAACAAAAGTTAAACAGTGCAGTTTTCATTTGCAGACAATGTAAAAAAGTATTTAGTTAGGGTTAAAAGGTGTCAGTATCAAGACGAAGTTGGTCCACTACAAAAAAGTTTTACAGTGTATATACATATTCGGCCTCTGAATTTAATTAATAAAATTTGTTAATTAACAAAAATGTTAATTTAATGTCGGACGGGAATGTATCTACTGCCGAAAATTTCTTTTAAACAACCATACAAGACATTCGAACTGATGCTTCCTCGTAGTTAATTGGAAGTCAGGTGCATAAATATTTGGACAAAGTTTTACTAAATTCTCTGAGTGCACGCCAGGATTGTTCGGACAGCAGAGATGTTTGGCCTGCCAAGGCGTCCGTGATATTGGATTTTCAGGCGTGATTTGAAGAATTTTATTCCGAAGAGGAAGAAGGTCGTCGTTAATATGAAATCGCTTACTTCTATTTTGAAAACACTTGCTTCACAACGGCGGTTATGCCATCACAAATATGAAGGTTTTGCGTCGAGTTTACAGTTGATTCGGAGAGAGTTCCGCTAGAAAAAATTCCGCTTGACTTTCACGACTGCTTTTCTCGATATATTGTTCAGCGATCGTAAAAAAATTGGGAAGTGAAAATTAGGTGAAGATCGTATGATTCATATTTAATGCAGGAAATAATACTATGTAGCCTATAATTAATACATATCTGCATTTTTTTCGCTCCTTTGGTTAAATTGCACGTTATAATTTTGTGTACTTTAAGGTTTATTTTGTAACATATGCTATACTTTCCTTAAATTTTCGATTGTTAACCTCATTGAAAATTCGACCAGAGGAAATTTTATGTGAATTGTTGTCGATGTACATTTTTAGTTTAGTCTTTACAAATCTCTGACCAATAGATTTTCTCTTTAGAAATCTCGACTTACACCAAGACTATTAGAAACATATCACGTTTCTGAGTCCCTGCCTGTCCAATACTTTAGTACCAATCGGCAAATCTCTTTACGATTGAAACAATTGTTCAATACCAAAAGAACAATACAAAATTCCCGCATCACAAGCTATGAAACAGAGCTGGGCGTCGCCGAGTTAGCATTATTGCCCAAACGCATTGAAGAAAAGGTCGCTGATTTCAAGAGAAGGGCGTTGAAAAATCTGTGCACTTGTGTTTAGGAAAATAAAATTTCGAAAAATAATATTTCGAGTAAACACTGAAAGTATACTGGGAATAATGACATTTAATTGTGATTCCATGCAACAAAATGATCGTGAAGATATATTTGACAATTGACACTGATGTTTTTACTCTAAATAATAATGGGACGAAAGATAAAATCATTCTCCCTCTTACGTTTCCCCTCATTTAGCATTCGTGACGAGAGGAAGATGAGGTTTATTGCACGAAGAAGGTTTTGGTCATGATTAACTATTTCAATAATAATTTATACAGTACAATAATTGTAGCCTTTTTATCCTGCATAAATGTATAATTAATATCCTGCATACGTTCACTATTAGAATATGCATGGCTTGGGTCTGATTAGCATTTCGTTGCTAGCCTGCGGGTCCGTAGAGTAACCCAAAGAATTGAACATCTAAACTAACTTATTTTAATAAATAGTTGAAAAAACTATTATTTAATTATAAGCTATAGCACTACATAGTCTATTTTTCAATTAAAGATTTTCAAGATTTGTGATCATGTATGAATTGATCAACTATGAGTTATTAATCGCATACGTTTACTTGAATTTTAAGTTAACGTGTCATAGCTAGAATGTTGTTTTCACATTTCAAGGTTTAGTTGAACACTTTCGACAAAATTCTTTCGTTTCTTTTCTTTCAATTTATAACTACTTTACTCTAATCTATCACTCTTTTCTTAAAAAATTATCACAAATGATGCGTTTTAACGTCTCTCGGTTATTACTTGAATAATATTACTCGCATTTTGCACTAGATCGTCAAAAACGACAATAATATTGCTGTACTATTTGAAACTTGAAAATCTAATTTAAAGTTTGTATCAATTTTTTCCATCAGCATTTACATGAACACTTATATTGCCATGAGCATTTTCATGAGCGCTTTCATGGACATATTTATCAGTTTTTTCCATGAACTTTCCTGTTCAGTGATCTGTAAGCAAATGGAACACTGATGTACCATACACCAGTCCTTGAATTTCTTCATGATAGTGTTCATATAATGAAGAACATTCCAGTGAATATCCCTAACGTAAGTTCATTATTCACCGCCCAGAAGTAATGTCAAACAATTTTTTGGCTCCTGTAGCGAGGCCAACTCATTATTTGCATATTGCAGCATATCTAAGCGGAACACACATCATTTCTCACGGTCGGGACAATGATGCCGGAAAGCGAACGAATAGAACGAATATGTTAAGGCTAATAACATCTTTGAATAACCACACACTCAGCACTCAGAGAAATAAGTGAGACTGTGGCCAAATAGCGATGCACTTTTTGCGCGTGTGTGGGTCATCTTATCCCAGATAATACCATAGTCAAGACGTATCACTTCTACCTTCACTTCCTGTGCTTGTGCCGTTAAAGGAAAGTGTGTCACTATTTGGACAAAATGATCCATTCATTTCTCTTAGCATAACCACAGCTAAGCAAGGTATTCGATACACAGTTGTAGGGCTTATCCAATCGTGTATTATGAACGTGTATTGTATAACCGTGTATTATTTATTATTCCTATACACACAGCATGACTGCATTTGTGTGTCAAGGATAGATGGATTACTCGTGAAGAATTTGCTTCAGTTATCCGGATTGATTTGAATGTAGTGACCAAACAATTTAGCTCACATAGACTGCAATAAAAAATAACAGCTAGATAATTATAACAGTTCTCTATGAATAATTCTGTCATGAGAGCATGAGTTGTCGAAATTTGTTTAATGTATTGACAAAAAATTTGTGGTATGGAAGAAACTGCAAACGAGCGTCTTTGACGATTTACCGAAGATTTGTGTGACTTTAAAATGAAACTGAAATTCTTTATTCCTGCCATGTTATAATACATGCTTGTTAAAGTTAAAGAGGCAATTTTAGGTTAATTTAGCATTCAACAAAGCTTCCTATGTCAAACTTTTAGCTAACTAATGAGGCAGGAAGTGGTAATGTAAATACAAACTAGCAGGGTAATAGAAAATTGATGGAATATGTCGCGTCTACGTGTCCAGTTCTTCAGAACTCTGAGGCCGTTTTATCTAAATCGCTTACATATTTTGTGCCTTTTGGAGAATTTCCAGTAAACTTCATTTCTTAAGCTGAATAAATAAGAAGTAATTCATAGAAAGTTAGATAGTTCATGGACTTACTGATTCAATTTGTACGTGCTAGCACAAGCTCCGGAAAGTTCATTCATCTTTCAGAACACAAACATTCTTCACCGACTCTGTTATCGCGTCTCACAAAAATGCCCCGATACAGCGACGAATTAAATGTCAATGCTAAGTAATTGTAATGATAAAACGTTGACTGCCAATAACGTAGTATACGTTTAACTACACTCAATGGCTTCCTTTCATCCTCGCATTAACTGTTATTATGACAATGTTACCGAATAAATTACAGTGTCTTAAAAAAAGAGAATTAGGATAAAATTCATGAATGTTTTGCATGCCATTACTAAATGCGTATAAGAGTCTTGAAATTTTTTAAGGATTTTATGATATGTATCAAAATTCGTAAGCTGAAAATTTGTTAAGAAAATCTTAGAATTCATTCAAATGAATGATTTTTTAAAGGAAAGATACGACACATTTGAAGCGACATCGCGAGAACAAGAGTTTAATTTCAATTTGAAACATGCAATAAATAATTATACTAGTAATTAATACTAAAATGTGAAACGAGCCATTAATAAATAATTATAAATCGTGACCAACACTATCACATATTCTTTTTAAGAATTTGAAATGATTTATCTTTTCAGGCAAATATTACATTTGTGCGTCCTCCATGTCTAAAGAAGGAGAATTGAACATTTATAATTAATAGATTTAAGATAAGACAGGAAAAATAAAAAAATAAAATAAAATTTGATAACGATTTAATGCTGTTAATGTTTTTGCCAATGCGGTTCAATGTGCTCTATATAAACATAGCATTTAATTTCTCTGAAAAATTATTCAAACGTTAATGAGCTTGTTAATGTTTACAGAATTGTTGTTAAATAGATTGAAAAAAATTAGAAAGCTGGTCCAAATGACTCCGTTGCTGCGGTAAATTCAATGATTGCTGTTGAGCAGAAATTAAGATTTCCTGGCGAGTTGGCTTATCTTGATTCGAACAGTAGAGGTGTGTGTAGAATGCGAAAAAATCGGGTTATAATAACGCCTACAGTGGCAAGCTAATTTTATTACTTAAAACCAGCCTATTGACCACTTTGATTATTCAAAGCCTTGACGAACAACTTTGCCATTAGGGTATTTATCGCAATATAAAAGCAATTACTAAAGCAGTTTTGGGTGACGCAATCCTTTTCCGTGTGTCCTCAAACGATGTATTCCTCATCGCAGAATTCATGAATATTCCTTTAGCCTACCCAAATTCCATTTGATATTTGAACCTTGGTGAATTAATATGCATATAAATAGACCTTTGATGGAGGCAGCACGATACGATTTGATCATGTGCCTGGTCATGACTATTCATATAGACTTTATAAATTTTTAGCCACCCGAGCTGTTAACGTGTGTTCAAGATTTTTATAACAATACAAATTTAAGCTTTTCCCTTCATATTTGCGCCTCTAATTTGACAGCATCATACTTTGCTTGACGTCCGTAGGCTTTCTATCCGACGTCCGTCGTCCTGTCATCCGACGTCTGTCATTCTGTCTTACGACGTCTGTTGTCTTGTCATTCGACGTCTGTCAACTGTCTTACGACGTCTGTCGTCTTGCCATCCGACGCCCGTCGTCCTGTCATTCGACGTCTGTCGTCCTGTCATCCGACGTCTGTCGTCCTGTCTTCTTGTCATTCGACGTCTGTCAACTGTCTTACGACGTCTGTCGTCTTGCCATCCGACGCCCGTCGTCCTGTCATTCGACGTCTGTCGTCCTGTCACCCGACGGTTGTCGTCCTGTCATCCGACGTCTGTCGTCCTGTCATCCGACATCTGTCGTCCTGTCATCAGACGTCTGTCGTCCTGTCATCCGACGCTTGTCGTCATGTCATCCGACGTCTGTCGTCCGGGCATCCGACGTCTGTCAACTGTCTTACGACGTCTGTCGTCTTGCCATCCGACGTCTGTCGTTCTGTCATTCCACGTCTGTCGTCCTGTCAACCGACGTCCGTTGTCCTGTCATCAGACGTTTGTCGTCAGTTCAAAAGTTCAAAACCTATAAGAAAATCAGAATCAATTAGAAAACTAAATTCACATCGAAGATAAAAACATAAATTGACAAAATAAAAACAAATACACATAAGGAGACAGGCCTATCTATTTCAAGGGGATAGGAGCTGAAGGCTGCATTCAAACCAGGTTTCTGTTTAAAAATATACATGGATTCTAAAATCCGTAGGTCATTAACACCGGTCGTGTAAGCTAGAACTCTGAAATCACTATCAGACACCGGAACATTGCACTGCTCGGCATGGACGCGCACAGCTGAATGAGGAGGATGCGCAAGTAATGTTCCCGTTCTAAAACTTCTGCCCTTATGCTCCGCCAGCCTAGTGTAAAAATTGCGAGACGTCATGCCGACGTACGCTGATGCGCACTGCGCACAACTGTATCTATATACTAGGGACGAACGCATAAAAAGAGGGAGAGCATCTTTATACGTGAAGAACGAACCGATTTTGAAGTTATTCACCAATAGCACCTGCAGATTTACATTCGGAAGATATTTATTGATCAAATCTTTCAATTCCCTAGCCATAGTCTCAGATGCTTTACCGAAGTAGGGAAAAGAACAATAAATCAGGTTCCTACTGTCACAATCGGGAACAACTTAATTATATTGCCTTGACATGAATTTCTTAATTTTAGTATAAATCAGTTGCGATGGAAACCCATTTAAAGAAAAAATGCTGCGCAAAAACTCAAATTCAGTGTGCATAGCATTGGGAGTTGAACAAATACGGAAGCCACGATTTAATAATGGTTTAATCCCATTTAATTTAAAACGAAATGAGCAAAAACTAAAAAAGCTGGTGCTTAAACCGGTAAACGTTGACTTTCTGAACACAGAGGTCTGGAAACGGCCATTAGATTTTGTAACATTACAATCAAGAAAAGATAAACTATTGTTGGTTTCAAGCTCCATGGTGAATTTTATTGATTGATGTTGGAGGTTTAGATAATCAAAGAAAAGGGCCACATAAGAGGGATGCTAGAAAAGTAAAAAAGTATCATCGACATATCGGTTAAAAAAACTGGACTCCGAAACGTTTTCATTCTTAAGAAATGGTTAATGTTCTGGCTGCTTTCTTTGCTTTTAAATTCCTGGTAAACTTGCGACTTAAGCAATCTAGTAATTTTTACGTTTGTCGTCCTATCATCCGACGTCTGTTGTCGTGTCATCGGACGTCTGATGTCCTGTCATCCGACGTCTGTTGTCCTGTCATCCGACGTCTGATGTCCTGTCATCCGACGTCTGTTGTCCTGTCATCCGACGTTTGTCATCCTATCATCCGACGTCTGTTGTCCTATCATCCGATGTCTGTCGTCCTGTCATCCGATGTCTGTTGTCCTGTTACCCGACGTTTGTCGTCCTATCATCCGACGTCTGTCGTCCTGTCAACCGACGTCTGATGTCCTGTCATCCGACGTTTGTCGTCCTATCATCCGACGTCTGTTGTCCTGTCATCCGACGTCTTTTGTCCTGTCACCCGACGTCTGTCGCCCTGTCATCCGATGTCTGTCGTCCGGTCATCCGACGTCTGTTGTCCTGTCACCCGACGTCTGTCTGCCCCTGGTGTTGGTTCTTGTTTCAAATTCTAGTAACCCTTCAGGGACCTTGTATAGACCATGAGTATACTTGTATACTTCAATGAGGTCCCCACGCAGACGTCGATAACTGAGGCTTGGAAGCTTCATAATCTAATCATAATAATAATAAAAGAACCTTTCATCCGCATAAACCTCACTACGACCGCGTATAACGATGACTATATCTTGAAATGTATTACTAAAACACAATAACTATATTGACAATATTAGCTATATAACTGAATTCAATGCTGATGCTAAATTTATTATGTTACTAAATTTATTACAATAACCAACTTATTCATATTCGTATAATTTATTACTAGAACTATAAAGGTAACTAAACTAATATTATTGGTGCTTTCACTGCCTGGACCTGTGTGCTGGCGGGTGGTACAATCAAAGACGAGAACCTAGAACTATGGGTTCAAGCCCTACAACGTACCTTTGTACCAGTTATTTGAATAAATATTCATTTGTCTCACTTAGCATTTTACCCCCACCATTTAGACTTAAACCGGACGCATGGAAATTGAATCGTACCCTAAGAATTTCCCGTTTCTTTTTGTTACAGTCCATATAAAATATGAATAAAAATGTATGATTTGCTTATCGTTCATACAATTATGCAGCTTTTTATACATAAACAATTACAACACCGTCTTATCGGTTATTTTCTCAAGTCTTTATAAATAGAATTTTCGATTCCTTTCAACTTATTACGGTATACATAAAAATTACGGTATACTCTGAATATTTTGTGGCATGTTATGTTAATGTTGATATATGTTAATTTGTAATGTTAATGTGAATGCTGTGTATCTGAATGTAATATAAACATTATTTTAATATAAGTTTATTGCTTGGAGTCTATCAAGGAACAGAAAGCAAGTGATCTGAACCCGTATATACAAATAATCAAGCCATACCGATGTTGGTCCTGCTGAGTGCACGTAATCGCTAAATATTGTAATAGCTAAAAAGTTCGCTGCTTATGTATCCATGCAAAATTGCTTAGCACAGGTGCCTGGGCGCCTGTGTTAAGCATTGAATTTTTCAAGTGATCCGAAATAATCAGTGAATGAAGAGAAAAGATTTTGCTTTTCATTCACTTTTGATTTTTCAGGGATGTGGTTGCTTTTCATAAAATAATGGAAACTTTTCGTTTCGAAAATATATATACAAAATATTTCATATTCTGAGAGAAATAGAAACTTTTGGGTCCGTTACTTGGATAATGTTAATCGTTCCTCCTCATTACTAATAACTTTCTATTTAAATGTAATGTATATGCGGATCCATTTCCCTGGATGGAGTATACTCCGCAGCACTGTGGGATCAGGGTGAAATTTTCCAAGGACTTTTTTATTAAGCGTTCAAAAAGTTGATCCGTTTTTACGTTATACTTTCAACAAAAGGAGAGCTACAGTCATCACTCATGAAATTAAAAGAATAAGCAACACGGTTGCGGTTCTATATCCAACATACTTATTTTCCCTTAGAATTAAAGAATGCACATCGACTCAAAGTGAGAAGCTGAGAGCTTTTGTTGTCATAATTTATTAATTGATTAGACAAAAAACATGTCTTCAAGAATTCCTAACTCAGTAAGTAATTCTTAATTGTTTTACAATGCTGATAACTAGTTATTTGATACATTTTTTGTTTCAGACAGTGAATACTTGAATATGATGTAGCTAATTATGTAAATAAGACATTATTTATTTTATGATTTAAATTTCAAGATTCAGCACCAACCAACTTAGTGAACTTACCAAATACCAACATCACTGTGATGCTGAGATTGCTGACTATGATATAATATTATATGATATGACAATAAAAGCTCTAAATGAGAATAGATTCTTGAAAATTTGGGGCCAAAGTATGCCATTTCGGTATTATTGCAGATTAACTACATCCAAAAAAAAGGGTGTTTTTTTTTTTTTAATTATATGTTTTTTGGGGTGTAGATTACGAATCTGAAATTCATTTTTGGCGGTCGGCATCGGAAAACCGATTTTTTTCGCGACTTACTAACATGGGGGTTACGTAACTTACGTTACCCACTCACCTTTATTTACTAACATGGGGGTTACGTAACTTACGTTACCCACTCTTTCGCAGATTTTAGGCATTTTTAGCGCGATTTTTGGGTCGGAAAAAAATCGGTTTTCCGATGCCGACCACCAAAAATGGATTTCAGATTCGTAATCTACACCCCAAAAAACATATAATTAAAAAAAAACACCCTTTTTTTTTGGATGTAGTTAATCTGCAATAATACCGCCATTTCTATTCATTAATAAAGAAAATATTTGTCAAGGGTCAATCAGAAATATTGTGCAGACTGCAGAGCAGCAGAATTTACCAAAAAAGGGCAGGTACCTAGAATGATTGTTTTTGGGCAAATTCATGAAAAATCATTGGCAAAAATTTGTAATTTTTGTAAAATTATTGGAAGAAATTAGATGTTAAGTGAAATTTTGTCACTGAGCAAGGTAAATGTAATCAAAATTCTTTGTTGTTAATTGATTTTTTTTCATTAACTGGAGCCTTTACTGACAAAGGCTGCACTGTAAATGTGATTTTAGGGGTGTCCCTTATTACCCCGGAGCTGTAGGGGTGTCCCTTATTACCCCTAACCCCATCATGCGGAAATGGCCGCCATTTTTTTTGTAATAAGATACACAAATTCTGTCAATCACGTTTTTAAGCCAACACGGCAACACCAGTATATGCAACTTTCATGTAATGCAACTTTTATGTAAGTAAAATATTTCAATATGACAAATATTTTTTCTGCTACAGATCTTAGCTGCTTAGCAGAGGTACTTTTCCAAAATCTCACTTTTCACACTTTTTTCAGGGATTTTTTAGAGGTAATAAATGTATGATTTCTTAACTTGCTTTATGCTACATAGTAAAAATGTTGAACTTTATGCCACTAGGTATTTTTATTTTTGCAATAGCTTTATTAGTTTAGCTGCTACAACATTTCTACAAAATGTTGAAGGACTGTCCCTTATTACCCTGCCCATCCCTTATTACCCCATTTGATGGTAGTCTTTACCTTGAGCTTATTATTTTTTTACTATGATATTTGTTTTCATTGTGTTGTTCTCTTACAGGTAGCAGTTGGGGCTGCTGCTGTAGGCATTGGTGTTGCAGTTGGAGCAGGTCTTGCCTACCTCAGCACTCGTATTCTTCACAGCTCTCGTGTCACCCAAGAAATATCTGAACTTCACGATAACATTGTGGAGATGAAACAAAACCTTGCACTCATTGAAAGTGGTATGATATAAAAAAATTGCAAGTATTTAAAGCTGGAAAAGCTGGACTCCTATATGTAATGTTTGATGCTAAAGTATGTACCTATCTCATATTGGCTTTAGTTTATTAAATCATGACTTTAATTTAACAGTACCTACCTATATATCTTTCTCGGTGTTTTTCAGAATTTTTCAAGTTGAGCTAATGATTTCAATCTACTGTGATTAATTGCTTGAGATGTGGATGTGTTTTGTTATTGCAGATGCATATTGTTTTGAAACCTATGTACATGTACACTCAACTGTTTCAATAAATATTGTGCTGTGTTACCACATTTTTTCATCCTTTAATATGCAGATATAAATCAAAGGTTTTAATACTAGTAGTATTTAATCTCTTCCTTGTCCAAATATAGTGAAAATTGCTGTTATAACCTCGTGACATTTTGAAATTGTTATAAATATTTCCTAATAGAAATTTACTTTTAACTTCAATGTTTACACTCGCTCAAAACGGGCATAGATTTGTTGTGCTGCCTTTGATTTTTTCTTGTCCACATTTGTTATTGAATTCACTGTTACCACTCATTGTGATCTGAGGAAGCTACTATTTGGTGCTATCCTAGATTGTTTTCTTTTCAACATTTATTAAAATTAACTACTATTGCCACTTGCTCAGAACTGGGCAAGCTGTACGGTGCTGTCCCTACTAGCAGCACACTACGCAAAGAAAACCACTTCAGCAGCAACAACAGCACCACAAGTTCCCGTAGAAGCAAGAATAAAAAGAATGTCTCTTTTAACAACTCTGTAGCACGAGCTAGGTGTGTTTGCTATTTATTCACTTATAATTGCTTGTGTTGGCTGTATGTAACAAAATTTTGCTTTAAGTTGTTTATTTTGCATTTTTTACCTATTGCAATGTGTACCTAGTATTAATCTCAGTTGCATTGTCATTGGCACTCAAAATTCCATTCATTTATAAGAGTGGATACATGTGTAACATGCTATCTCTACACCATAATTCATTTCAAATGTCAGCATTCAAACTACACCTCATCTTCAAATTATTTTTTTTTTGTTTCTATGCTGTATACATAGGTACTATACCTTCTTATATTTTATATATACCAGTACCTCCTTTTTTAGTATTATTTTTCCATGGGTCATGGTAATTGCCTCCTTTTTTATCGAAAAGAAATAAAGCTGTTAGTTGCATGCAGGTTTCTTCTCTTAACAAAGTTTAAAATATGATTCGCTTCTTGAAAAAGCAAGAAGAAACCAGTGGTTAATTTCCGTGTTAATTTCCCAATGGCTGAGGCGCAAGATTAAAAATATGTTTCTGATTGTCAATCTAGACATTTTGTTGAATACATATTTCTTTCCTATCAACAATTTGTGTTAGAAATGTTGTCAAGTATTCCTTGCTATGTGCAGCTACTGTGCATCTGCAGCAGAGACGGGCTCAACAGCAGGCTCGTACATAACTGCAGTAGAAGGCAGCTTGCATAATGGCGACAGCTCCGCTTATGACACAGATTATTTTAGTCCTGATGAAGGTGACACCACTGAGGATGACGAGTTCTTCGACTTTGTGCCCTCTGATAGTGAGGAGACCACCTTCACGAGCCAAAATTCTGAGTGAGATGTTTTAATTTTACTCCTAAAGTAGTGACTGCCTTTGTAACATCGAAGTCCAAATCTAACTATTAAGTACGTACCTATCAGCCAACAAGTTTTATACCTTCACAAGTCAAAATTCTGAGTTAGCAGTTTTAAGTTAGAATTTTTGAGAGATTTTCTTTTATAATACATGATCTTGAATAAATGATAATGGACCTGCATGTAATGAGTAAATTACATTTTTATATTCATGAAATTTTGATACGTTTCTTCTTAACCTCATGGACCGTACTTACCCCTTGCAAGCCTCTCAAATATTTGTATATCATGCGGTTGATTTGGATGCTAACTATGGGGATGATGATAGTAGTGGTTTTGGTTTGTTAGTGAATTCTCATAAGATTGTTTATCGTTTTTCATCAATAAAAATTCTCATACTCATTCATCCATTTAATTTCAAATCTTTTGGCGTTAGCTGCGGCCTGAGAACTGATGCTAGGGCAGTGACTCCTGCCATGTTGTTGATTATTTTAGTCCAGAAGTAATTTGACTTCATATTCTATACTTTGTCTCAGTTTTACAAAAACTTAAAATAACTGAGATCTCTGAACGCCATGTATTCATCTTGTATTTGGAACAGGTGCAACGGCGTCACCGCTACACAACTGATGGTACTACTACCCTCTTTCACTCTTCAATTTATAATCATTGAGTTCCATCAGTCTGATCAAAGATAATCCTGCCACAGAACTAACAGAGCTGCTACTCTTTTCATTCTTGATAAATTATGTTTTTATGGCTTCTACCTTCCCTCACTCTATATATTAAATTACTGTTTTCTATCTGTCCAAACACCGTATTTTCATCCTGTACTCTTCCAAATGGAGTGCCGACAGCCATAGAACTCACGGAGCTGCTGTCATGCCCCACTCTTTCAATCAAATTATTGTGATATACCTAATTTTAATTATTATACCAGTCAGAACCCTGTATTTTCTTCTACTTTCAATTGAAATAACATATTTTCATATATAACTCGTTACCGTATTTTAATTGTATTTTTATCTACATAGAACTTGCTACCATATTTTCATCTAGAACTCGCTACCATATTTTCACCCAGAACTCGTTACAGATGGAGTGGCGGCACGGCGACAGAACTAACAGAGCTGCTACGTCGCGTGGACGCTCAGTTCTGTAGCGGGGAGGAGGCCGAGATCCTGGCCGCCCACGCTAGTCTGCTGGAGGCGCGCCACAGCTTCCCCCTCAACGCTGAGGTCCTCTGGAGACTGGCCAAGAGCCATCGCAACATGGCTACTCTGGAGGAGAAAAAGGGCAACCTTGACATGAAGAAACACTACATTTTTGAAGGCAAGTGTTAATATTATATAATTATAAATATAAATAATTAATACCGGTAAATATGTTTGCGCGCATCATACGTAATTAGTAAATAAATTTCAAAAGCTTGTATGGCCATCCTTGAGAAGAAGGGCTATCTTGAGATGGAGAAATACAACATTTTTGAAGGCATGTGTTAAGGATAGTTAATAAATATGTATGACCTCAATACAATTAGTAAATAAATTTCAAAAACAAACGTACATGGCCACCCTCGAGAATAAGGGCTATATTGACGTAGAGAAAAACAGCATTTTTGAAGGCGTATGTCCTGTAGCCTAGGATAGCACATTGATAAATTTTTTAATAAAACATTTATAAAGACGCATTTCCTGCGCTTAGGATAATTTTTTTATTACATGAAATTTTTATGTGGTTTCTAAATTATTTATCTTGAAGCTTTTGAACCGAACAAATTACATTCCAATAGAATAACTTACAAAGGTGAATGCAATTGTTTAGATAAGATTAACTGAGATTACCTTCTTTTGCATATTGACATATTTGTATTTAAAAGATTTTTTTAACAAGTCGTGCTAATTCATTTGCTTTCTTGTGTGTCATTTTTCTTATGTTTTCAACTTCATTTCTCCTACCGGCTTGAAATAATTCATTCATTATTGATATTAAAATGTATGTTTCATGTTCTAGAGAAGCTGGATAATTGTTGAGTCTCCTTGCAGCAAATGTTTCGTTAATAGCGAGTTTAAAATTTTATTAATCGTGATTAAAAGAAGAAAAGTAAATTTTAACCTATCTGCAACTGTGTATGGCATGAAAAGCAAAAGTGACGAAAGCAAAGACAAAAGTTCTAATTCCTGAAATTCTGAAAATTTACAATTGTAATTTCATTAATGTTTAAGATTATTTTTTTCATCCAGACGTAATAGAGTAATTTTTTTACCTACGTACTTGCAGCTTACGTTTACGCTGAGAAGAGTCTTTCCATCAACGACAACAGCGCAGACACTCACAAGTGGTATGCCATCACGTCCGGCGCCCGGGGCGAGTTCCTGAGCACCAGGGAGCGCATCGAGAGCGGCAAAGTCTTTAAGAAACACATTGATGCAGCCTTAGCCTTCAGTCCTAATGATGCTACGTTGCATCACCTCCTCGGCAGGTTTTGTTATGAAGTGAGTGATGTTTACTGCAAAATTTTATCAAAAAGTTAATAGCATTCATTGCTGCGTTTTGTTATGAGTTGAGTGGCATTAACTATTGCATTTCTTAGTGCGGAGCAGCAGAATCCACTGCAAAAATTCACTGCTGAATTTTGATGCGAGGTGAATAGCTGCAGAGGGATTCATGGTTCGTGTCTAGAGCTTGCATCTTCTCTAATATCCATGATGGCTCTAACATCTATCCTGGGCAGTGGCATAGATAATCTGATAGTCAAATAAAGGCAACTAAGTTTGATTTTCACAACAGTAGTTCATGGAAATTGGATTTTTCGTAAGAGACGTTCAGGTTGATGATCGTTTGTATGCACAATTACCAATAGTTGGTATATTTAGGCTTAAGTAATCATTTAATTATAAGTGAGCATCTCAAGTTTCATTTTTTGGAAGAAATGATCTCGCTTCAAATCGTCTCTTTCTACAGTTGCCAATAGCTAGGAAAAACTTGCTTGGCAATAGTTACAAGTTCTAAGTATCGGACAAAGTTGTTCTTTCATCAACGATAAACATTCAATTCCATCAATAATAAACATTCAATTAACAAGAACTTAAACTTTTTTCAAGAAAACGTTCCAGTTCCAAATAGTTTTTCATGCAGTAACCAATGTGCCTCAAAGCCTATTTACTGACAACAATATAATTTGTCTTTTAATTACCAATAAAAACACTATGATGAATTATTTTATTTTGAAGAGCCCTTCCTGTTTCAGATCTCAGGTCTGACGTGGCTGGAGCGGAGGGCAGCGTCTGCGCTGTTCGGCTCCGTGCCTGAGAGCAGCTATGCTGAAGCCCTGCAGCATTTCATGGTCTGTTTCATTTCATGGTCTGTTTCATGTCATGGTCTGTTTCATTTCATGGTCTGTTTCATGTCATGGTCTGTTTTTTCATTTCATGGTCTGTTTCATTTCATGGTCTGTTTCATTTCATGATCTGTGCCAGAAGCAAATTGCCTACAAATTATTATTGCGTTTTCCTTGTATAGTGTTTTTCTTATGATGAAGAAATTTAAATAATAATTTGATTATTCTTACTGTATGAGCTACGACGAGCATGACGTCGTCAACGCATATCAACACACTTCATCATGACTAACCCGTCGCCAAATCTGTTGATAAATATTCATTTCATTATTTTAATGTATCATAAATGTTGACCATGATGTCATCAATACATTTCAACATCAACACTTCATAATACTTCATAATAGAAGGTATATGATGTAATAAACACAATTCCACATAGTTTTCCATGCCCCGCAGTCAGCAGAGGAGCTGCACGCGTCAGGCTGGAAGGAGAACCGCCTCTTCATCGCTAAATGCTTGGTGAAGCTGCAGCGCCTGGACAGCGTGGCTGACTGGCTACAGCGAGCCCTGCAACTGCCTACTGCTACTGCTGATGTCAGGCTCTCTTGTATTTTACTTATTATTACAGGATAATGCGTGCAATAATTATGAATATTGTTTTTATGGGATTTATATTAGGGATACAGTCCAGGCCCACTGCTACTGCTGATGTCAGGCTCTCTTTTATTTTAATTATTATTACAGGATGATGCGTGCAATAATTATGAATTTTGTTTTTATGTGATTTATATTAGGTATACAGTCCATGTCAGGCTCTAAATTGTGCTGCTTACTCCCGCAGTGACTAGCGTTAATTAATTATAAAGAGAGTTAATTTCCATTGGCTAAGTCTGCTTTTAGCTGATTTCAGGCTCTGGGCTATGGGTTGCTTGTATATATAAGTATAAGAGTGTGTATATGCAATTATAAGAATATATGTATATATAAGTATAAGATTAGTATAGGTTGGCCGAATTTCTTCTTTCAAGCAGGTTTCATTGAAGACCAGAGAATTTGTTCTATTGCAGGGGTTATTGTTCATGAATAATAACCCCTGAAAAAAAACGGGAGTTTTCCAAGAGACCAATGTAGTCTATAAATTTTCTTGCAATAGAGAAGGTTGTAGACTTCTTCCCAATATGGACTACATCGGGCTCACAACTACGACATTAAGCCGACGTCTCACGTGCCACCTTCAGTCTGGTGGACCAATTTTGTACTTATGTCGACGCTAATTTCATCACTCAATGCGCCTTTTAACTTGATAATGAATGATAGAAACATTCAAAACGTCGTTAACGAAATAAAAATGTCCATCGGTAACCTGATTTTCTATTTGCCAGTTCAAACTAAAAATATTGTTCGATATATTGAAAAAACTATTAAGAAAATTGCGAATAAAACAAATTCTCTGGTCTTCAATGAAACCTGCTTGAAATAAGTATAAGAATATATGTTTATATAATATAAGAATCAGAGACACTCGTCACTTAATTAGCTATGTAACGTTGACTAATCTCAGGCTCAATGATTTGTATTCCTTATTTGCTTGTCCATTGCTATTGCTGATGTCAGTGTCAGGTATTCAATTTTATAACAATACGACGTAGGAAATGCATAAACTCTTGTCTAGCTTCTGTGTTATTTAACATTTTATTAATTGCTGTGTAACAACGACGTGTTAGTATTTGGTTGATGCTGTTGTTATGTTGCCCTGTTTTTTTTTTCTATGAGAAAAATTATTTTAAACGAAATAACAAATTTATTTGACTGTTCAATTAGCGCTATCAAAAGTAGACAATTGTTTCAAACATTTTGCCGACGCATAAATTACTTTTTACTTTACCAGTTTCAAATTATTTAGGTGAAAATAATGTAGTTTAATTGAAAATGTTTCAAATGTTGTTTCAAATTTTGATTTAATATGTAAGGAAATATTAATAAATTGTAGTATAGTAATGGCGAAGGACCTGCAACTGCTAAAATATGAAGTTTAAATGATATATTGTTGACGAGACCGTAGTTATAAATATAATCAATATTTTTGTCAGCAATTGAAATGTTATTGTTTTGTAAGCAATTGAAAGCACGCTAACAAATGAATGAAAGAATGAATTATATTGCAGGATATGGTGGTCGACGAGCAGCTGAACCAGATGCTGCTGAAGCATCCTACGGCCTCCTAGCTCGAGTCCTGCTACTGCTGCACAATGCAGCACTATGTTGCATGCTGCTGCACAATGCAGCACTATGTTGCATGCTGCTGCACAATGCAGCACTATGTTGCATGCTGCTGCACAATGCAGCACTATATTGCATAGTGCTACATGCTTCACTCGACCCTTATTTCTTATATCATTGCATTCATGTAAATCTAGCATTTTGGCCACTCAAATTTGTTCAATTTTGTCCGTAGATACATTATTGGTTGGCCTTTCTTATTGAAATGCTAATCCGTGGTTCAAATATCCGGTCTCTACAAGATTTTAAATTAAACTTGATTGCTTAAGTTTGAATTTCTGCGACCGATCAGACAGGCAATAAGTTTATGTTCATCATAAGTTCAATTCTGTCATTATTTTTACCCTGTTGAACATGAGATTCAACTATAACATGGGTAGTATTATTATCATCCTCTCTGCCTCCAATCACTTGTTCGTGCTTTTTTAATCATTGATCTAATGAATAAATGATGACAATAGTACAATTTATTTCTTCTGTGCTTATGAAAAAATGAATATCTGATAAAAATATCCATTTGATGTGAAAATATTATTAAAATCACATCTTATTTAATTGAAACTTCTGTCTTCGTCATAAATTCATGCCTAATTTATGAGTCGCGCTAGTGAATTAGTTGAAGTAAAATGTGACTATATTGCCCTATAATGGAAGCTCTGGATGCGTTCATGTATATTCCACTGACGAAAAGGCGTTCTGGCAAATCGATTAGAATCCTTTAGGAGAAGTAAAGGAAGTGAGGGAAGGTGAAGGATTTCCTCTGCTTGTGGTAACGTTTCAGTTACTCGTATTCAAAATGAGTTTTTGTTATTGTCTTCACGCATTACCCACTTAATGTACTTGCACTGTTTTGTCAGCTTTGGAGGCTCGGGTTTTATTTCAATTATAATAAATAATCTAAATTTATTCCTTGTAGATCAGCAATATTGTACATGTTTCATTGGATCTCTAGAGTTCGGGATGTTCTCTCTGGAGTTCGGATGTTCTCTCTAGAGTTCGGGATGTTCTCTCTAGAGTTCGGGATGTTCCCTAGAGTTCGGGATGTTCCCTAGAGTTCGGGATGTTCTCTCTGGTGTTCGGGATGTTCTCTCTAGAGTTCGGGATGTTCTCTCTGGAGTTCGGGATGTTCTCTCTAGAGTTCGGGATGTTCTCTCTAGAGTTCGGGATGTTCTCTCTAGAGTTCGAGATGTTCTCTAGAGTTCGGGATGTTCCCTAGAGTTCGGGATGTTCTCTCTGGAGTTCGGGATGTTCTCTCTGGAGTTCGGGATGTTCCCTAGAGTTCGGGATGTTCTCTCTAGAGTTCGGGATGTTCTCTCTGGAGTTCGGGATGTTCTCTCTGGAGTTCGGGATGTTCTCTCTGGAGTTCGGGATGTTCTCTCTAGAGTTCGGGATGTTCTTGCTAGTGCTCAAGATGTTCTCTCATGAGGTCATTATTGTAATGCTGTTCTGCACTCAATGTTCCTTAGTGTTGTTGTAATTAATTGGTATATATTTTTTTATTGTTGATTCTTAACTTTTCTGAACATTGCATTAATTTTTTCATTTCCTGTTCTCTATTCCTTCATGCGACGTTTCCAAAAGAACTTTTGTCCCTTATTTTTTTTATTGTATATACGATACATATTTTCAATAGCAGTCTTTTTTTAATTCCATGCTAATTTATTTGTATCATTTACTTTTTTGCTCTAATATGACTTAAAATTAAAATAAGTTCTGCTGATTTAAAAACTGTTCCTTGTAATCAAGCTATTAGCGGACAACCGAGGTATTTACCTATCGAGTCGCTATTTCATTTTATTATAAAAATTGGGGCGGTAAATTATTATTCTAAAGAAATTTAATTGCTTGTCTCACTGTTCAGCATAGAGGATTTCTACGTCTATGTCACCTAACAGCCAAAGCTTAGGGTACCCTACGTTCATCGCGATAGAAACTTATCTCTTGGATCAGCAATAAACACGTAGGTATTACTTGGACCAGCGTCCAGCGATAATACTTATCTCTGGGACTAGCGATAAACACGTATTGCTTGGACCAGCGATAATACTTATCTCTGGGACCAGCGATAAACACGTATTGCTTGGACCAGCGATAATACTTATCTCTTGGGCCAGCGATAATACTTATCTCTTATGTCACCGATAAAGGCATGTTGTTAATGTTTTATTTGTTTTCTAAGCAGAGGCTCTTCTCTTAGTTCTTGTGACAGGGTATTAGGGTAACCGGAATTACCCTCAGACTTTGATGAGGGCTGAAGTTGTGTTCGTATTATGCCGAAATAATCTGTAATAATATTGTCTGTGTGCATGATATTGGAGTCTATAGTATAATTTGAAAAACTTCAATCATATTCATTTCGCGAGTATTGTTTTCAGTCATATTAGCGATTGGCTTAGTGATGCATTGTATTGGTTGATAACATATGGACGGTTAAACGCATGGGGCCGGAATATCTGAGATATCTACGAGTTAGTACCTCTGTTGGCCGAGCACTTAGGGCTTTTTAAGCTAAACTTGCTCAACAGTCGAGAAATTGGTCAATAATTGTACACAAGACGGCCGCTACGTGCACTTGGGCCGCTACGTGTACTATTATAGTACGGTCTCTGACCTGGAAAGGATTAAACATTGGATGAGGTTCCTGTTGCCTTGAGGAATGAGTTTGTGATATGTATTCTTAATGAAACTATGGCAGCTTTGATAGCTTCTAATTATCATGGTTAGCCTTCAAATCTTTGCCGTGTTAAGCCTTGATGCGATCGCTGCCGTGATTCATTGTATTTATTGGATAAACGTATGCATGTTTTCCCGTAAAAATGAGCGAACATTTTCAACTAATTTTAAATAATCATCCTGTATAAACACGTTTGACCATGAAAGAAAGCATTCGAAGTTCCTGGCTGCTAAAGTAGTAATTTTAGTATTTGTTGTCGGGAGATTTACGGTCGAAACGCTGAGCCTTTCATCAAAATAATATCAAACTTTGTTTCAACATTTCATTTGTGAAAAAATTAAATTATCACTGCAGTGTTAATCTAACGTCGTTGCATTTGATTAATATTTATCAGCATAATTTCAATTCAGGATCCTTGATTGTTGTAAGTGTGGGCCCCATCTTCGCTGGGGCTTCATTTGGTTCTCTAAGGTCTGTATTAAGTTAACCTTCTTTAAAAGATGCTCTGGCTTCCAGAAAAAATCAGCTACAAACAAACACGTAAACATCAAAGATGATTAAAAATCAAAGGAATGTATTTATACTTGCCTATGAAACTCTGTGTATTTTTAAGATATTTATCATACTGAAAATATGTTTTGTTTGATTTATGTTAAAGGGTTTTTGTTTTTTAAGAATTAGTGGGTGTACTGCGTTAAGTTACTTAAAAGACATGTACGTTACTATTTTTCTGTGTATTTAAGTTTCGTTAAGGTTCATGGTTTTCTATACAATCTTTTGGGCATCTCAATGCATTCTGTTCGTCGTCGTAAATTTTTTTTACTCAATTTATTTCTATTTTGTGTTTTTTCCAACTCTTTGGTGATGATATTTTATGTATTATCTGTGAATGAATTTTTCGTGGCACTTGTTTAATATAGTAAATTTATAATTTATTTACTTTGATTTAGTAAAATATACTTGGCTGAGTGAGCAAGCTCAACAGTTCATTCTTCTAATTTTTTGCCGATTTCTCCGTCATTTTATAATCCAATGAATTTTTTACCTTGTTCCTGAAATACCAGTCTTAAAATTTTGAAAGTTTCTCCATGAATTTTACTTGAAACTGATGAGAAATGCATTTTAAATCTGCATTAATAGGTTATTCCTTATGTTTTTTGAAATCGTATTGCATCTGTTGTTGATTTTCAATATTTGCGATTAATTTTTTCTTAAAGCCTTGAAAAATATATTTAGCTTGTGCATTGAGAGCGAAGTCTTGCATATCATTATATACCTATTGTTATTTCACCTCTTGTGGGATTATTGAAAGTTCATGATATTATACAGGGTCATCAATATTTAGCGTTACAACTTTGAGTGGTTAGAACTATGAAATGAAACATAAATGTGAATGTTTGAAAATGTATTTATGTAGGTAGAGGTTCAGAGATACAATTCCCACAATTTCAGTCAATATGTCCACCATCTGCATCAATAACAAGTTGTAGACGCTTAGAGAAAGCCTTACACGAGTCACGAATGACACTCTGCGGGATTTTGGCCCAATCCTTCAGCAGTTTGACCTTTAGGGCGTCCAAACTGCTATGGTGAACGGTCGAGACCTTGCTCTCAAGGTATGACCAGATCCCAAAATCCAGAGGATTCAGATCGGGTGACGATGGGGGCCATTCATCTTTGGTAATGAAGTGGGGAACATTCTCGGACAGCCACTCCTGAATCGATTTGGCCCCATGGGATGGTGCAGAGTCCGTCTGGAACGACCAGGGACGTTTTTTGAAGTGCTTTCATGCCCAGGGCAACAATGCACCAACAAGGATGGCATCTCGATATATCATTTTGGGAGTTGAAGTGGTGTTCAACATTGAATATCTTCTCATCACTGAAAACGAGGTTTGGCAGCGTGCCATCATGAATGCGGGAAAAAAGAATCTTAGATCTTTGGAGGCGTTTGTCAACAACTTGAACAGACAGTTGGTGTTTTTTGACATGCTTAAATGGGGACAACTTTAGGTCCTTCCGGAGAACAGTCGATATGGTTCCATACGACACATTTGACTGTTTTGCGAGTGTATTGATTTTGAAAAAACAATGTAACGCTAAATATTGACCCTGTATATCCCATAAATTTTATTCTCGTGTGTCAACTTTACGCTCTGTGATGGTAAAATATAATATGACAAAATCTTCCCGTATTTGGTGAAGCAGCACTCCTGCGACGTGAACACTCAGATAAATGAGTGAGACTTTGTACAAATAGCGATGCATTCTTTACCTTGTACTGTGTCTGTCGCAGTTTAGACGGTGGAAAGATTTTTTTTTCCACCCATTAATTATCAATTAACGGGGTTAATTATTAATTAATTGATTATTTTATTTTCATTTTAATTTATATTAATTTTATTAATTATTTTATTGTGATCAAACCGTGTGGGCAGACATGAAATTCCCATGCCCCTGCAACCTGACAACAATAATCATGATTATGTCCATTATTCTACTGCTCCATTATACTCATAGTGATGCATTTTGTATACTACTTAATATTTTCGTTGAATTTCCATTTTTATGGCAAAATAAATTTCTCGATTTTAGGATGACTTTCCAGCGTGTATATTTTTATTAATTTTGATTATTTATTAATTATTATTGCCTTTCACATCTTCGTTTGAAAGGAGTTTTCTGTCCCACAGTCGTATTCCCATGTTGCATATTTTCGTCCTGGTTTAACAAATAACGTTCACGCCACTTTCGATACGAGTATAATTCTTTTTATAAATTTGATATGAACAAAATTAACGCCATGTACACGCTCCAATTCATTAGAGACGTTCTGAGTTACATACTTCACTATTAAAAGTTTCCATGTGCAAAATAATGAAACTCGTTCGCTTGAAACTCGAATTGTAGATTAAATTTTGAAACTTGATTTTTTATTTATTTTATATTACTTAATCTCTCGTTTTTGTACGTGTCATGGAAGCCATTGTATTTTGTTGAAACCCTATGTGTTCAATTTTCATTTATGCGTGGAACTTCTATTATTATAATTATGAAAGATTCTCAATAGTCGTATAAACAATCACACCGCCGTTAACTAAAGTTATGGTTAAAAGCCGAGATTTTTCTGATTTCATCAGAACGTATGTAATTTTTTACCTAAGCTTTTATTTCATACAAATTTATGTGATTTTCTTTACGGGCTTAATATAATTGTTGATATTAATACACTTTTGTTAATTAGCACACATGGTCAAACTAGCAGGCGGATACTTTTATCGGACTTCACTTCCAGAACTGATCATATTTTGTTCTCTAATTGCAAGGGATTAAAACTCTCAGAATCTAATCATTTGCTGTGGATGACAAATTCTACTTATGCATTAATATGTTGAATTGCTATCTTTCATGGTTAGCTGTTGATGTAAAAACTTTATTTTTGCACAAAAAATGCGAATGTATATAGTATCTTATCTATTCTCAAGTTCTATGAACAGTTGAATAGACAATCCTGTGTGAATATCGGAAGTTTTTCAAGACAATATACGTACGTACGACACTCGTTAAGTATGGGTCTAAATAATATAGTTATCGGATATTATCGTTAATAACTTCTCCCTATATCGATATTGTCCTGCCTTAATACTTGTGGTTACAGGAAACTGAGAACTTGAAATCTTTTTATGCTTCCTTGCTTTCTTCGTAGCGACGCTTTTGTATGCCTGTTGCCTTAACTCCACAGACTGTAACGACCGTTAAGAGGTATATAGTTACGGTCACTGTATACATTTACAGAGAGTTATGTCCAACGAGATGATAATGATGATGAGACCTTCACTTCTTGCTCTAGGGTAATATGAATAATAGAAAATATATTTTTCTTATTAATTATATTAAAATAACATTAATAACATTGCTCTGAACAAAAGTACACGAAATATAACAACACTCGAAGCAAAGTTCACGCTTTTAATGGAAGGCAAATGCCTTTTTCTAAAAGGCTAGGGTGAAATTTTAACTGGAAAATGCGATATAGAAATAAAATAATAAATACATCCAAAATACAATACTATGCAATCAAGAAATGACAGGAGTAAGTAATTTATCATGCCGGTCGTGTACAATGTCAGATTTGAAAGTCAATATTGAAAATACATTCTCATATAACTGAACAATATTAAGAGTTGACATTTCTGACACGAACAACTGATATGAGCGAAATTTAGGTATAAAAATTCGAGAAAAATAAAAAAGTATTCGTGTATAATTAACGAAAATTAAATTAGAAGCTGGTTATAAAATAAATAAAGGGTACAGAAGAATAGACAGTGGGGAGGTGTTACCCCAGTCCCCAGACCGCATTAATATTGCCCCAAACTAGAATAATGTTACAATAGAGCTTGATAGTGTTACCCCAGACGGCGATAATGTTACCCCCAGAGGGTTACAATTTTTACCCCAGACTACAATAATTTAACCCTAGACAGTAAAAATGTTATTCTTGAAGGTAATTCGGCGTCGTTTGGTAACCAGTGGTCTAGCTACAAGACCAGACCACAGCAGCACCACCTGCAGGGCTGCTCGAGAAGAGCACCTCACGAAGGGCGTGAGCAGCAACGTTCCTGTGAGCGTAGAAATGCTCCTCAAGATGAGCGCAGTGAGCGCCCAGTTCAGCGTCTGCCACGAGCGCCACAGAGCACCCGCCCCATCTGAGCATTAGGCATTAATATATCATTAATTGTCAACTTTTTGTTGGTTTCGGTTATTATTTAAGAATATTAATTTTCGTTGACCTGAGTGATAAATTATAACTTTTTAAATTAGTTGACATTATTGACTATCGACATTTCAATTCGCACCCGTGCGCCACACTCACCCGGCACCCGAAAGCCCGCCACTCACCCGGCACCCGTAAGCCGGTCACTCACCCGGCACCCGTAAGCCTGCCACTCACCCGGCACCCGTNTACAGACGACGCGCCGACTCGTGGCTCTCGAGCATCAGAGCGCCCAGCGCCCGCAGGGTCTCGTCTGGTAAAATATGTATCTTAATATATTGAAAATATATATAAAAATTATAAAACAATATGCAAAGTACAAAGAAAGTAATATATTAAGTAAAGTGAGTAGCACCCGCAGTGTCTCGTCTGATAAGATATATATTTTAATATATTTAAATTATATATCAAAATAATAAAGCATTATGCAAAGTAAAATGAAAGTAATATATTGAGTAAAATGCCACGCGCCCGCAGTGTCTCGTCTGATAAGATATATATTTTAATATATTTAAATTATATATATAAAATTATAAAGCAATATGCAAAGTGCAAAGAAAATAACACTAAGTAGAGCGCAAAGTGTCAAGCACCCGGGAGGGGGATGTCCTGATATTATATTCTAGTAGATTTTCATATGTACAAAATGTATATCATAAGTCTTATAAAATATATATTTTAATATATTTAAATTACGTATCAAAATCATATAGCACTATGCAAAGTAAAAAGAAAGTAATATACTAAGTAGAGTGCCAAGTACCCATAGGGTCTCGTCTGTAATCAGGACATGTTTTGAATTGAACTTAATGATTCAAATACATAATAATTAAAAATAACAATACATTCAAATTATAGAATTGGGGTTTAGGTTAGGTTATTGAAAGTGTGGTTGGGACAAGAATATATTTATTATTTGGTTTATTTATATTTACTAAACTAAAAATTAGTGGATGAATTTTATTATTATTCGGATCGTCGCTTGTCAGCAAAGTAGCATGACTCACCAACTCACTGTTGATGCAAATCATCATAATTACCCTCTCATTGTTGATTATTAGCATGACTCATAGACGCACTGTTGATGAATACTATAATGACTTGCCCCTTCACCCTGTTGATGCATATATGTGTGCATCAACAGATGAAAGGGCTCAAAAGTGAGCTCATATTCACCAATTTACTCACCGTTGGTGAACACGAGCAAGACTCACCCAGCGTCTGGTCAGCGCACCCATCACGCCACAGGTCACAGATGCACTTGAAGTCCTGCACTCGTTTGGCCTCCGTGAAGACATGGAGGGCGCGAGGCTGAAGACAAAATGACGTCAAATTCTTGGTGTTTTCACTGAGTATTTTAGCGACCACCTCTTCAGCAGAGATATTTAGACACTCTGCTACCTCATCCAGAGTGTACGGCTGAGGATGGAGGTTGTTTTCCACCAATGAAATCATGTGGGCAAAAGATTTGTTACCTAATTGGTGTTGAAGGTCTGCCATGTTGGCAACTTTTTCCCAAACTAAACCGTTTTTTGCGGCTAGGATGTAGCAGGCAATCTTGCACTCCATGACCCGGCAGTTGAAGTCATTGGTCGCGGCTTTGTTGGCGGCGACCATCGAGTTTGCGACGACGAAGGACGCCCCTGGCGGGAGGACAACGTCCTCACAACGGAGGGGATTGAAAGAAATGTGTTGAGCACAGCCACGTTTCGAGAGGAACGATGCTGCTTGGTCCATGCCACCTCCCTGAGTGCCAACATACTTTTCAGAGACCGCGCATACTCTAGCCAGTTCTTTAAACGATACTCCATTTAATGAGGGTTCATCCGATCGGTTAGAAGAAACGTCTTTAAGGCTTTTGTCTTCGTTACCTTTGTTTTTACCAGAAGAAACCTCATCTTTTTTAGGGTTTGAGAACATGGCAACCGCGGCCAGTGCAGCACTGCACACCAAAGCTGAAGAAGAGGACAGACCCGCAGCCTTTGGCACTCTCCCCAGCACTGCCAAGTTGATGCCACAAGAGACTGGCACTTGTAAATGCTCCTGCACTCCATACAGTCCACACAACACGTAATCATGCCATGCAGGAGGGCTGCTGATGTTCCCCAGTTCGTGGATGTCACACGTAAACGGTTCGAATTTCGTGTCGTGGTTCACGATTTTAATTTTGTCGTCGGGGTTGCGACCAACCGCTACGAATATTGACTGGTCAATGGCGATGGGAAGGACGGAGTATCCGTTGTAGTCGATGTGTTCACCGATCAGATTCACTCTGCAACAGAAATTTGATATATTATTTGATATACTGACGTGCCGACGGCCCTAATAATTCAGTTTGTAGTCTGATCTCTAAATAAAATTGAAAAATTTATCAATTACTCAAAAGCCTACCAAGGGGGCAGATAATTTAACCCTAGTCTGATTCATAAATACAATTAGAACCATTGATACATTCATCAATTATTAACCTCCCAGGGGCCCTGACGATGGCCTCAGGGCTGACGCCGAAGCTCCTGACGAAGCAGTCCCGCAGCAGGCTGACGTCATCGTCAGGTCCTGACGAAGCAGGAGTCTTGGAGGCGGCCTCGTCGCACATGGACGCTGTAGCTACGAATATCTTTCGTTTATAATGAATTAAATACCAACAATACTAGATAGGAGTATCTTGCTCACTTGTTTGATAATTAATTAGATATTTGCTGCGCTGGCTAGGACCACTTAGCTAGCTTCTTTAATTTTAAATTAACTATTCACTAACGCTTCTATCAAAATATGAGAAAAGATTTTCAATATATTGATTCTCTGAGAGAAAACATTGCATAAATTTATTCATGTTATCAAGTGAACACTTCTTGACCTATCACACAGAAAAAATCAGGGTAATATTGACCAAATTGTGACGCACAACAGCATAACCCCACAACTGACTTGCCCAATAAGAATACATTTTCAGGCCTGAGCATTATCCCGGCACGATAAATATCTTATATTTGTGGTGCCGGCCGTCAAGCACAAATATATTAACGCGCATATAGAAGCAAGCTTATATACAAGCTTCAATGGATATGTATAATAAGCTGATTATCACGGTCTCGATAATACCAGTAACTTTTGTATCACGGTATCCTGAATCACGAATATAATAAAAAAGCAAATGAGTGTCGTTGAAGAAAGAACCGTTCTGATTCATATTTACGCAAAACACTTATTTGAATCGCACTTCAAAATAGGAAAAAAATTCCCTTTTGTTAACATTAAACATGAAAAAAAACGTTGCCAACTAAGCACAAGATATGTCACGACTAGTATTGGCATTGAATATGATCTATTATTGAACCATTTAGTAATTAGTTAACCAATAATAACATTTCTATAAGAGCCAGATTCGCTGCCATGCTGCCACTCATCCCACACGTCAACACAGCAATAAATACCGACACATCAAAGGGGCGTTGCAATACAAATAATCTGTTCGTTGATAAGCCAGATAAAGCTTTCATCCATGATAAACAGATGCACAATACGAATATTCTTGTTGATGTTGTATGTTTCTATGCTAATTTTACAGACACATGATTGCTAAGTTTGTTGTCCAATATTGAACAAGTTGAACTTTACACAAGATGGAAAACGGGTATGGAATAAGCGCAATAAAATCACATTCATCATTCTTAATAAGATAAAAAATAATTTCAAACAGACAAATGAAATAGACACAAATTAGGCACTGCAGTACGGTAATTCAAATACTTAGAAATATAAGGAAACCACATGTACATTGAAATTTTGAACAAACGAATGAGTTACAACACATGCATATAAATTAATAAGTAAATTGTACGTTAGGTGTTATACGAGTGTTAAGTTTTAAACATTTGCACAAGTATTCAATTTTAAGATACGAGAAACGAAACGGACACGCACGGTAGCGTGGCAGCCTCAGCACTGCACCGATCATGTGTGCGTGAGTGGTAACGTGACACACGCACACATGTACGTGTCGTATAACACGTACACCATGTTAACGTACATACAAATGATAGTGAATGCTGAAGTGAAGGAATGTAACACCTGTGCCCAGCAGCACAGCCTGCTGCGTCACAAGTTCTCTCAGACAAATGAATGGGTCAAATAGTCAAAATAGTGACACACTTTTCCCATGAAACACAGCTAGGTTCTTTTCCGGATCAACCTAGGTTAGGATGACCCACATTAGAGCAACAAGTGCATCGCTATTTGGACAAAATTTTTGTGACTACCAATTACTTACTGTAGCCATTAATAATGTGAATCGAGTTTAAATATAACGCCCATCAATATATATTTCTATTGATCCTTACATTTCTATAAATGCAAGTTTTCATTAGCCATTAAATGAATCAATGTAAAAAATGAATTAATACATCAACATAGTCTATTATCGTTCACATATTTATATACATATTATACATAATTAAATGAATAGAATTAAATAAAGCCAAATAAATGGAAAGATTTTTCTCAAAGAAATGCGTCGAAATCGTTCAAGTTGAGAGACAAGTTAGTGGAGAAAATGAAGCCCTGTTATGTAACTGAAAATATATATCAAATTAGAACTTTTTAATCAATGCACAAAACTATAATACAGTTTTCTTTTCGAGGGATAAAATTTTCCAGATTTTCACAATTGTAGCGTAAAATATCATAATATTTTTAAACTATAAGAAAGTGAGGATAATGAAGGCTGCGGGTTATTGACTTCATTTTTATTAATCAATTAAAAATTGTTACATCGGGCAATAGTTTCAATTATCATAAGCGTCAATATACAATTAAATGTCAGAGAAGTGCAATTTAACAATAGCTATTGTAACAAACACTCAAAGAACGAGTAAAACTTTGTCCAAATACTGACGCACTTTTTGCCTTCGTCTGCGTAACCCTGATCCAGTTCAGCCCGGCACAAAGACGTATCAGTGCTACGTTCGCACTCTGGTCGTGCTGTGGGTAAGAAAGTGCGTCACCATTTCGACAATGCGACGCGTTCATTTTTTCGAGTGTAACAACTGTCCTGTTCAATGTATTTTTCTAGAACGAGATTCATAAAAAAACATACCTACCTACACACTCAGCTCCACCCACATACTCAGCTCGCTTACCAAGCTAACATATGCCAGCAGTCAAAAGTCCCCGTTGCTTTGTAATATAAATACAAAGAAATCACGCTGAATTCTTCAGTTCTTAGCTAAACGAATTAAGCAAATCAGTAAAAGTCAAGAAGAAATCAGGTAGGGTTATCAGGTTGCAACAAATGTACAGTCGTACTTAAGTTAAGAGTTCATCATACATGATGGTACAAAACAGGAATTGAATGCCACGATTATTAGCCATTCCAAGTTCCAAGTAAAACTAGAACTTACAGTCGAGTGACCTACTCAACCTAAGAAGTAATCGTCTGATTGATCAACCAAAGTCTAGCTTAATAAAGATAATTCATACCAAATACAGAGCTTGGGTCAATTCTCTTAGAACATAACTCTATTTCAGGTGCTGGTAAAACGATTATTTGAATAAACAAAAATTTGTTAATTAATGAGTCAGAAGGAGCTTTCCTCACATGGCTCACTCTAACACGCAACTCACGTAACTTCATAAATTCAATTTATGCTTCTTTCTCGGAGGTATTTTGGAAGAGCTAAGCTCCTTATTGGCAGTGCCGATATGACTTACTTCAAAAAGTATTATATATTATCAATATTTATTATTATTAGTGTCAAGCGTAGCTGTGCTCTTTAATGACGATAATAAGTTGATTAAATCGAAAAAATATAATATTTCTACCGGATTTCAAGTTAAAGTTCACGAAAAAAATTGCAAGAGCAAAAGAATATTTAGTGTAACACCTAAGAAAATATTATGTACATAAATTCTTGTTCAATTCCTAAACGAGAAGGTACGGCAATGCCAGCATTCGATTCAGCCGGACATGTCAGCAACGACATCACGATGTACTATACATAGCTTCGCGTTAATAAGCCAACATTTAGTGGAAAGTATCAGCAGCCCTCCTGACATCAGCCTGCTGACTGACACATGAGAACTTGCATCAGCAATGACATCAGTTATTATACATACCCTCCCCTTAGTAAGCGAGCTTTATTACAGGTTATCAGCAACGCTGACATCAAAATTTGCATCAGCAATGAGATCATCAGGTCTATATACATACCCTGACCATACTAAGCAAGCTCTTAGTAGAAGTTATCAGCAGCCCTGACATCAGCATGCTGGCTGACACCTGAGAACTTATGGAAGGGATAGTCAGCGAAGTCATGGCGCGGCAAAGCGTTGGTGTAGAGCCAGACTGTGTCGATGCCAGAGCCGATGGTGCGGTATGGCTTGCGCTGTGGCAGAGGAAACCTGCAGGCAACCACAGCGCTGTCCCTGCCGAGCTCGGCGTCCAGTTTGTGCTCCAGCTGCGACATCTGCAGCAATCAGGCATGAATTACATACAGAAATGATTCTTAGTTAGAAGGTATGAATGTAAATTGATTTTATTAAGGAAAAAAGGATTGTCAGATGAGTTTTTAGATAAATGACAGGGTTTTTCCCGCGGAGATCGGCGTCATATTTGTGCTCCAGTTGCAACATCTGCAGCTATCATGTATGAATATACTTAATTAATAAGTATGGAATTGTAGATATTAGATATGAATGTAATTTGATTGTTTTAAGGAAGAAAACCTTGAAAGAACTTGCGCCCAGTTCGAGCTCCAGCTGCAACATCTGTAGCCATCAGGTGTGAATGAAACTCGATTGTTTTAAGGCAGAAAAGCTAAGTTAGAATTCTGTATTTTCATTAACCATATCAGTTTTTCACTGCGATCAGAATCGTTTTTTTTCTCCACTTATGACATCTGCAGTTGTCAGGTAAGAAGGTGAATTTCGTAGGTTTAGAAACATATTTCACTTTCAACTTTTTTAAAACTCACCATTTGCTGAACTCCAAAAATGAGAACACAATCATAAGGCCTGAGGTCAAGCTTCCACAGGTCCGTGGTAGTGAAGGAAGCACAATGGCTGACCCCATCCCGCCAGGCTCTGTACCGAGAGTACAGGACCAGCCAAGGGTTCAGCTCAACCCCAGTGCCTCTCACGCCAAGCTCTTTGCATGCAGCCAACACCTGCAACCATGAGATCAAGTTTAAGTTATAGATGTATTTTTAACTTCAACTAGGGCTATGGTCAACTGCTGCATTTACTCAGAATAACGATGTTAATTCTTTTTGTATAAATAATGGCTCATAAAAATCCAAAAATATATTATAAATTTCTGCAACAATAAAGTACACTCAATTAATACCATACCTAACACCATACCATCAATACCGGTAATGCCAATTTAAACAATGTAATAAGGGATTATTTCACTAAACAAAATAATAGAAAATAATTAAGCAGCCGTAATGACTTATCAATGTCAATGAATTGAAGGTCATCAAAATAAAATCATATATTCTACATAATCTTTCATATAGGTACACATGTTCAAAGTCCCACAATGCAAATATACATGCAAGATGTTTTGGTGCATATCCACAATACTGTGTTGCAACATTGCCTGAAACTGACAATTTATTCTTAGTAGGAGAATACTAAGGCATTGAAATACAGGGAGGAAAGAAGTGAACCAGAAATTCAAATTTGAATTTTAATTGGCGCATATATACCTACCTACTGTAAAATGAAGGGACTTTCTACTATTTTGACAAAAAACCATATAACTCAAAAAGTTCTTGCCTTAGATAAGTTGTGTAAAATGCTCTGCTCTTAAACTACTACATGAGATAACATGGAAATGCTTTAGATATATATAAAAGAGATTAAGAATAAATGTATTAACTTTGATTAAATTTATTAAAGAGATACAGTGGGGGGAAATAAATATTCGTACACTTGAAAAATCGTATTTTAATGTATGTAATTCTCTATACATAATTTAAATCACTTTTCCTGTTAAGTTTGTGTACTTACATACATTAAAATACGATTTTTCAAGTGTACGAATATTTATTTCCCCCCACTGTATATTATATATAATTTATATCTATATTTACTAGGCAACTGTTTGTATCACAAAAAGTAAGGACTTAAAATGGTCCAAGTCGACATATTTTATGGTACATAGGCGATTTATGAGATGCAATATTTTATATATTCTTTATCAATAGCCAAATGGATGTTTTACCATAAAAGTTCAATTTGGGTTTGAAATCTTTCTTGAATCTGCTTACATTAGCTTTAATATTAATGACATTCAGGATAGCATGATTTTTAGATTGCAGGGATTATTGAACTAAGGTCATGGCAGGCTTTTCTGCTGGCTTAAAATCAAAAGATTAGCAAAGATACTGCAAAACTCTCACCAGCCTACCATCTCCACTCCCGAGATCTACCACGGAGCGTGCCGACGTCAATCTGAGCGCAGCAATGACATTTTCTACCTGAGCTGCTGATGCAGGTACGTATGGGAGGCAAACCTGAAAAAGTAAAAGAAGTTAATTTTGTTCAGTTTAAATAGTTGTTTAAAAAATGGCATCCAATGGATGCATTACTCAAAGACACCAAATGTTATTTCCAAATAATGTATCAGCACTGATGGAGAATCCTAGAAAAATGTCTACTGTAATTATGAGCATCAAAATACAAATACATCAATAGTTACGTATTTCAACAGGAAACTACTAATAATTATCACATATTTATACACAATGCAAAACAAGCTAACTGACTTATTAGTCAATATGAAACATGTATATATACAAATTAAATGGATGATAAACTTACCTTCCTCAATGCAGGAGCCACAAAAGGAGCAGCAACAACAGACAGCACAATGGCTGCACCCCCTGTTACACCAGCTAGAATGAGGCCAATTAAATGGCTTCTAGATTTTGATTCAATTGTGGATGAGCTGGAAGCATCAGCCTTGAATAGCTCATCAAGGCCAATGCTTGGTAATGCATTTGACATTTTATCTAGATATATTGTTGTTCCAATTTTAATTATCTATTCTATTGTTACTTCACTCATATTCCTCAAATTAAAAATATTGATATAGTCATTCTTGTTTAAATGAACCAATACTGGTACGGTACATTAGGGGTATGTTTTACATATAACTATCATGAACTATGTGTCCATATCAGCATCCTAAGAAAGAAGACAAAAGTGTATATAAGATTTCTTGTTTAAACCAAAGAGAAATAAAATATTTAAAGATATGCCTACTTCCAGTGATTACTTGACATGTAAAACTTACCTAACCTATAACTTGTCTGTCAAAGAAAGACATAGGACACATTCCCACAGGGATGTGTTCACGATTTGTATATGCATAACTATATTTTATACATGGCACGTAATACTATTAGGGGAAGCCCCCTTTTTATGTGTAACCATCCATTTCCTAAGGTGCAATGCATGTTAGCAGTTAAAATATGAGTAAATTCTGAGTGGATTGTTTGTGGCAGTAAAATAAATAATTGATTTAACCAGGTTGAGGCGAGTGCCAGTATGGTATATAATAGATTAAGTACACTCCTTAGATTTATTATGAGTAATTTTTTTGCTTTTCAGATGAGCAAAAACTAGCAAGCTGTTTGAAAAAAGCATGATCAAAATCTTCCACATTAAAATGAAAAATCAAGCATAAGCTACCCATAAACCAAGACAAAAATGCCTATGTTTGTCAGAAACATCACCTGTTTGCAAAACCTTGGTCTTATTTCTTAGAAAAATATAAAAAATGTCACATTTAGGATACAAATTTCAAAATTTGGCTGTAAAAGAATCATATTTATCACCTATTTCTACAAAATTCTGCCCAATATTCCAGATTGGCTTCTGCAGACACTGTGAGTCTGTGACTAGAATTTTTTCCTTTCAATCTGTGACTAGAGTTTTCCCAGAATTTTTGGAAATGTTTTCAATGCCAATATGGTGAATTTGCTTGGAATTTTCTTTGCATTTAAATTTCTTGTAAACTTGCAGTGTATTGAGTGTAAACAGACTGATACAACTTAAGGGGAGCGTCTGGGTGCTTAAAAAACTTTTTTGTTTACAGACGGATCGTTTTGAAACTTGGTACTCATATGTAAAACAGAATTCTAAGACTTTTTTGTTCGTGTGAATTTTTCGAAAAAAATGAAAGAAAACGTGAAATTCTTAGAAAACGGAAAAAGGGGGTACCGTAGAAAACTATCTCCTCCTAGGATTTTGAAGCTACAACATTGAGACGCATATCATTTGATGCGTAAGGACCATATCTATCGATTCGTCATAGCTTTTTTGAATTTCGAATTTTTGTGGATGGAGGAGTATTTTTCACAAAATTTTCAAACATTTTTCTATTTCCCCTTTTTTCTATCCCCTTTTTCAAAATATTTTCAAAACTATAACGAAATTGGGAAAAAGCTACAACGAATCTCTGGATAATTCAATTGCGAATCAAATGGTATATGTCTCATTGCTGTAGCTTCAAAACTCTAGGAGATAGTTTTGCAGTGACAATAAGTTAACTTTTCAGTAGGGCCCAACAAAGTTGCGTGCGCCTCGAAAAAGACATTCAAGGCCAAGGGTGCAAGGTTGCATGACTACATGAAATTGGAGCTTAATTTCTGTCAAGGCTGGTGCGAACGACGGCACAACCGCACAAGAACCATCCCATATGACTGCAGGCGGATAACTGAAGTACAGCGTGTTCAGACTAGCTATTTAAGTGTGCTACCGGTAATTTAGGCCTATATTAAATGTTAAGGAACTCCACCACCCCTAACCCTTTCGCGATCTGTCGTGAACGCATAAATGATAAATCAACATACAGAGATGGTTTTGGTACCGTTAGGTTAGATGCGTCAGAATGTAAGCTTTAAGATGAGTATAAAAACAAAAAAAGTCAAAAAATTTTCAATTTTGACCCAGACGCTCCCCTTAAGTACTTATATGTCAGATTTTAGTGATAAGTAGGAAAATTTTAATCCTAAGCAGACTGTAGTCTGTAGATTCCAATGCAAGTGTGACGGTTTAAGTGTCAAAAAATAATTTGTTGCCATGCCATTTGCCAAACTTGGCCAAAGATCTTGATTTCTCTCATTGACTTAACACTTTGCAGTTTGAACCCTGGAAATTTAAAAGTGCAAATCATCTATAACAACACATTTAGAGAGTTAGATTAATAATTTGCACACCTATTACTAGACAAGTAAGAAAGTTCTGGTCATGCCACTGTGCCACATGCATCACCGTCATGCCCATGGTAGGCCTACTAATTATATCCTGTCCAATTTAATAAATTTATATAACTATGGTATTGGCCTATCAGTATCACCATGACCTATGCTATGGGGCTTTGGCCGGTAATGTGTTGAATAATTTCAAGTACCACATACACATTTAACTGAAGAGACGAACGATGTTTATTTTTGTACTAGTACTAGGGTCACTACCTGAACCAACCGCTCTTGGCCATGGCGTCGGTGAACACAGACTTTATGACTTCTTTGTCACTTGACACCGTAACACGCACGGCGCACCGTCACGCAAATGCGACGGCCATACCGGCCGCATGTCTAATCAGTCATATGGTTTTGATCCAGTTTGTTGACACCAAGCAGCTGATTCAGGGTATTTTTTGTATAAAAGTTGCTTCAAAATATTTTACCGGCTGTTTATGCAACTTTTAATAAGCGGGGAGAATTGCTATAAAGAAGCAGGAAGTGGGTATTTCTTCCGATGAAACCTGAAGTCGTGATTGCATTTAAGAAAAATAGATTGAATTTTATAGTAGATGAACACTATAAATACACAAAGTTGACATGATTTTTTCCATTTATCTCCTATTTTTCGTCAAGACATCTTCTAGGTAAATCCACATCCATCTCACATCTTAAGCTCTGAGAATCTAACTAACAGCCCACTTACATCTTGATCAAATACAACGTTGGCTTTGTTCATGAAATTATCGTCTACGAATCGATAAGCTTGATGAGGTTTTGAAGAAGTACGTATCATTTTCTCGAAAATCATCACACGAACCTCCAGCAGTTTACATAGGACACGCAGGGCATTCATGTCGGTCGTTGGTACGCCAGAGCCTCCATAAAGTACGAAACAATCGTCGAAGCGTGAGCGACCTCTCGCTATCAGAAAAGATCAGCTAGAAAAATTATTCTCTGGAGTCATGACCCTAAATGGCAAGGTGAGTGCGATTCTTTCCGTATTTTCTTCGATAGCCTATATTTTTGTTGAATATTTCTACTTTGCACAACGCAGCGGCAAGAAAGAATGAACGTTTTTGTGTATAATGGCCTGGCCAAAAACGAAATGTCTGAAATTGTTGCAAAGAAGAGCAGTAGATTCAGCCAAAAGTGATGTATTCGGTTTCAATTTCAAAGGATTTGGTCTTCGCTCAACTGGCATTCCTTAGGACAGCAGCAGCGGCAGGATGCGTTTACGCCTGCAGCTCTGACCTGCGGCAGCCGCTGCCTAAAATATAAAGCTGCTGCTGTTGAGGCATGTAAAGCTGTTGCTGTTGAGGCATGTAAAGCTGCTGCGGTTGAGGCATGTAAAGCTGTAGCTGTTGCTGTTGAGGCATGTAAAGCTGCTGCTGTTGAGGCATGTAAAATGCTGCTGTTGAGGCATGTAAAGCTGTTGCTGGTGAGGCATGTAAAACGCTGATGTTGAGGCATGTATAGCTGTTGCTGTTGAGGCATGTAAAGCTGCTGCTGTTGAGGCATGTAACGCGGTTGCTGTTGAGAATGTAAAGCTGTTGCTGTTGAGGCATGGAACGCTGTAGCTGTTGAGGAATGTAAAGCTGCTGCTGACGAATAAAAGCCGAGACAACTGCTACAATATAGCTGACACCATTACTAATGTCAGTGAAAATAGACCGTTGAGACAGAGAACATTTCAGCTTGAGGTTGTTACTGAAAATATCGATGTATTCATTACTAATTAGACATAATTTTGCTGATGTCATTGTTGCCGCAGCTGCAATAGATTTTATTGCTGCAATGCATACTGTCGTAGCAGCTGTTGCAGACGTAAAGGCTGACGTCGCTGCAAATGTCACCGCTGCAACACCTGCAGCAGCAGTTAACATTCCTCAGTAGCAGTTGCAAGCGGCCGGATGTAGCTAGCTACCTCAGCGTCGCTTCTGTGCAACACCAACCCCTCCTCTAACCCCTTCCTCCAACCCTTTACTCAAACCTTTTCCTCCAACCCATTTGTCCAACCCCTCCTTAAACCCCTTCCTCCGACCCTTTACTCAAGCCTTTTCCTCCAAACCATTTGTCCGACCCCTCATCAAACCCCTTCCTAGAACCCTTTACTCAAACCTTTTCCTTCAACCCATTTGTACAACCCCTACTCAAACCCATTCTCCAACCCTTTACTCAAACCTTTACCTCCAACACATTTGTACAACCCCTCATCAAACCCCATCCTCAAACCCTTTACTCAATTCTTTTCCTCCCACCCATTTGTCCAACCCCTTCCTCGAACCCATTTCTTTAACACCCTCTTCGACCACCCCTTCCAACGCCTCCCGCAACCTTATTCATCCATCACGCTTTATTGATTTCATTCTTCAAATGCCATGCTACTAAAGCTATACTCGTATTCCTCTAACAATATTTCTACGGACATATTCCTTTAAAATTATCAATTTAATTCTATGCTTACTATTTTATTACTTTAATTCTTATAATCTTTTTAATGAACTATTTGCTCACTTTTTCCACTACCCTCTATCACAATTTACATATAAATATGCTCTTTTAATTTATATACGGTAGCTTCTATTCCGATTCAAATAAAGACTTTTTGTATAAAAAATAATAATTCATTAGGTAAATAAGCAACAGCATTTAGATTATGTTCGCGACTTCATAAATACATTCCGAATAGAAAATGTTGTTCATTTATTTCCCGATCATTGAATTTAAGCTTTGATCCTAACTTAATAATGGCAAAATATTTCTTCCTAAATCAGCGTTTTGTTTTACTATATAATGTATTATTGAACAAATTATATAATGCTTTTATAATAAAGTGTTTACTCCTATTGTTGGCTTGTTGTCTGTGAATGGTCTTAATTCACATATTAAAGTTGTTCAATTTGAAGCTATACCGGACAAAAACCCAGCCAGTTTATCGTAACTAACAATGCATTTTGTTTTATAAATAGGACAGTTTCTCATCACTAAAAATATATTTTGTTTCTTAAACAGGACAGTTTCTCGTCACATCCCATATTTTTTTGCTGTAATATAAATAGGCAACATTATGTTGGCTATTTATTTTGATGTAATATCCGTGCCAGACTTTGTTATCATGTCGCGATGCTATCAACAGAGACCACGCCCTTCCCTTTCCATTCTCATGGAAATTTCTCCGTGTCTCTATTTTAACTGAAGTTGTTAGGAATAAAGACATTTTAAGATGGTTAAAAAACTATTATTATGTTATTACATTTATGCAACTTTAGGAAATATCAATTATTATATCATTTATTATTATTGATGATTGTTAATCGTAGTGAACATATCATCGGTTCATATATTGATTATTAGCAGCACAAATACTGAGGATAAAAATACATAATATTGCTATGCTTCGCTTTTCTTTTGTTCTCGACGCATAGTTTTGTGAGGCTTTGATATGTGAAAAGTAATGATATATCTTGCCTAATCCGACAAATATTTTGACGCAGTTTTGTTGACAAAATTTTGACCTAGTTTCGACCCAGTTTTGAAAAAAAATTTGACACATTTTTGACACAGATTTGACGCAGTTTTGACACAGTTTTGATACAATATCGACGCAATTTTGGAACAATTTTGACACATTTTCGACACAGAATTGATACAGTTTTAACACAGTTTTGACACAGTTTTGGCACAGTTGTGAAACAGTTTTGACACAGTTTTTAAACAGTGTTGACACACTGTTAACACAGTTTCAACACAGTTTTGATTCACTTTTGACACAGTTTCGAGGTCTTACAAAGAAAAAAAAATAACCGTACGGTGCGCGATGACAAAACAGTCTTGGCCGGAAGCTACAAGCTTGGGGAAGAGGGGTAAGGGAAGAGGGGTAAGGGAAGAGGGGTAGGGAAGAAAGGAGGAGGTTGAGGAACCTATTTCACATGACCCCAGTGTTAGCGAGACCTCCTCACCTAAGCCGTGACCCCAACCCCACAACCCCAGCAACACAATGCACAGGACAATCCCACCCCACTTAATCAGGACCGACCGATGTCATTAAAATAATCACAGTTCTCTTGGAAAACCGACGATTATTTTCGTAGGTGCAGCGAGGAATTCGGTCAAAGGAGAACATTGCCGTTATTTACAGCTAGGCAAATATTATAATAGTGATGATAGATCATTTTTGTACTTCTGAAATTTAATGAATTCTTTCGCAATATGATTTGAAAATACGCTTGCATGTCAAAAGGGTTAGTGACACGCATGCATGCAGTTCAAACGTGTTCGTGACACGCATGCATGCAGTTCAAACGTGTTCGTGACACGCATGCATGCAGTTCAAACGTGTTCGTGACACGCATGCTGTCTCTTATACACATCTAGATGTGTATAAGAGACAGCTGTACTATCGTCTATCCTTACCTGTACTATCGTCTATCCTTACCTGTACTATCGTCTATCCTTACCTGTACTATAAATGAACGACGGCTAGTAAGCCCAACCCCCGCAGGGTTCAGGGCTCAGAACAAACGCCTTGTAAACCCAGCCCCGCAGGGTTCAGGGCTCAGAACAAACGCCTTGTAAACCCAGCCCCGCGGGGTTCAGGGCTTAAGCCTCACATGAGGAATAGTTAATTCCTCTTTCCATCTGCTCTTCCGCCCCTGATAACCTGCTTCGCGGTTGCCATCTGACGGCACATCGGATGTGGCAAGAAGCTCGCCTTTGAAGTTCTCTTAAGTTAAGCATTTCGATTTATGTTCATAGGTAATTGTATGGCCACCGATAACACGGCTATAGTTTTCAGATGAGACAGAGCGCAGACATTTTCACTTCCGAAAACTTCGATGGATGGATATGCTTTAGACAGGATATGCGGACATCGGAAATTTGTCGGGAAATCAGTAGAACGTGCAAAGAAATTAGGGATCTTGCAACAAACTTAATCAATTTCCCAAAACACAGGCGGAAAAAATCTTCTATTGACTTTTCAAAAGCCGTGAGAAAAAACACGCGTCTCATTTCCTGTATAAAAACCAACAGACGACACGCCTGCCGCGAGACGCGATTTTCGTGAAGCGAAGTTCCTTCCTGCAGACGAGAAGCGAGCCCTGCAGACGAGAGATGAGCCCTGCAGACGAGAGATGAGCCCTGCAGACGAGAGGTGAACTCTGCAGACGAGAGGTGAGCCCTGCAGACGAGAGGCGAGCCCTGCAGACGAGAGTCGAGCCCTGCAGACGATCGTGTTCGTGACACGCATGCATGCAGTTCAGACGTGTTCGTGACACGCATGCATACAGGTCACACACATCCGCAGAATATAG